AGACTGGATAATACGAACGGAAAATCTACAATCTACGTTCGCCTATCTAGATGATGTTACCGTATGTGGTAAGAATAAAGAAGACCATGACTATAATCTTGAGAAGTTTGTCTGCTGTCAAAAAGTACAATCTTACTATAAATGAGAAAAAATGTACATTTTCAATTAAAAGTATTTCTATTCTTGGATATAACATTAATAATAAAATGATCAGTCCAGATTTAGAAAGAATCAAACCTCTACAAAATTTGCCTATTCCAAGGGATGCTGCTTCGTTAAGAAGGACAGTAGGAATGTTTTCACATTATTCTAAATGGATACCGAAATTTTCCGAAAAGATTCAAATTATTATTAATAACAATGATTTTCCATTGAACAATGATGCAGTAAACGCTTTCGAAAGTTTAAAACAAGAAATAATTAAGTCATCTGTTCATGCCATTGAAAGCAAAATCCCATTCACTGTCGAAACAGATGCATCAAATTTCGCAATCGGAGCGACACTTTCACAGGAAGGGAGACCTGTTGCTTTCTTTTCAAGATCACTCGCGGAGTGTGAAAGAAAACACCCTGCAATGGAAAAAGAAGCATATGCCATTGTAGAATCTGTCCGTAAGTGGAGGCATTTTCTAATAGGACGAGAATTTCGTTTAATAACTGATCAAAAATCGCTATCATTCATGTTTAACACCAAGCATAATAGTAAAATTAAAAATGATAAGATTATGACGTGGCGCCTGGAGCTCTCTTGTTTTAAATATGACATTATATATCGACCTGGGAAAGAAAATATTGCAGCGGATGCACTATCTCGAATGTGTGCATCTGTTCATACAGAATCTAAACTATTTTCTTTACATGAATCGCTTTGTCATCCTGGAGTCACTCGAATGTTTCATTGGGTGCGATCTAAAAACTTACCATACAGCATTGATAATATACGACAAATGACACGTGGCTGTAAAATCTGTGCAGAAGTAAAACCTAAATTCACAGCCGTGGAATATTAATAAAAGCTACAAGTGTATTTGAAAGATTAAACATAGATTTTAAAGGATCCCTACCTACAAATTCAAAAAATCAGTATCTACACTATTATAGACGAATATTCAAGATTTCGGTTCGCATACCCCTGTGAAGACACATCTACATCGAGTATTATGCTGGACAAACTATTTTCTATATTCGGCATACCCTCATACATACATTCTGATAAGGATAATCATTTATGTCCCATGATTTAAAAATCTTTTTACAAAGTAAAGGTATGGCTACAAGTCGAACAACATCGTATAACCCGCAAGGAAATGGGCAATTAAAAACAAAAAAATATGATATAAGCCAATGGGAGAGGGTATTGGATCAGTCATTGCATTCGATTAGATCATTACTTTGTACAGCTACTAATGTAACACCTCACGAAAGAATGTTCAGGTATAATCGAAGATCTGAAAATGGTGCAACATTACCATCGTGGTTGATGGTGCCAGGGCCAGTGTTTATGAAAAAGCATAATCGGGCTTCCAAATATTCACCTGTAGTACAGCTATTACTATTTGAAGAAGTCTTCTTTGCTGGGAAAACTTCGTCAGCAGTCTCAATGATAGCATGAGCAAAAGCTTCAGAACAGAGATACTCATCACCTTGGCTTAAGATGGAAAGAGTTGAGATCTTACTATCTAGGGGAGTTTTGTATAAATCCCAGTCTGCACTAGCCAACTGATATTTAATTCGGCAAGAAGTTTTAGTTTTATTGATATTTTTAAAAGGTAAATTTATTAAAATGGGGAAGTGATCACTACCATAAGTGGAGTTTAAGGTTTGCCAAATCAATGATGAGGCTAAACTAGGTGAAGAAATGGAAAGATCAGAAGCACTTTTACCTTCATTAATATTGGTTCTTCGTGTAGGAGTGCAATTATTTAAAATTTAGATTAAGTGAATGAAAGATTAAGTGAATCTACAATGTCCAACACTTCATGTCCATAGTTATTGTTATTTGAACTACCCCATGACTGGTGTTGAGCATTAAAGTCACCTAAAACAAGTATAGGTTTGGGAAGAGACACTAAAATATTTTTAACTTCATTTAAAATTTGAGAAGAAGGATGAGGAATATATATAGAGACAAAGCAAATGTTATTTACAATGATAGCAATGATTGAGAGATTTTTATCATGAGAAGAAATATTTACATGAGAAAAAGGAAAAGGATGTTTTACTAATATTGCAACACCACCATAGTCATCAGATCTATCTTCTCTAATACAAGAATATCCTTGAATTTTAAAAATAGATTCAGGTTTTAGTCAAGTTTCTTGAAGACATACTATGGTGGGATGATACTTATTAATAATATGGATAAGATCACTTTTCTTACTATTTACACTACCACAATTCCACTGAATTGCCTTGGAGCAACTGTCCATTATGACTAATATACTTATTTATAATTTCCATTATTGGTTGGGCTACGTTGGACGGTTGATTTTGATTTAAAATATTTAATAAAGCAATTATAAGTTCGACTATAGATTGTTTAAATGAATCATTTGTTTCATTGTTGAGTGCACAACCGTTTTTAGGGGAAGGCAAATCGAATTCATTTATGATAGCATTATGAGCCTTGACATCCTTTGTTTGATGTTAAATATTGATGAGGTTTTAAAAATACAGTCTTCTTATAGGAAATATTTTGAGAATCTTTATTATTATTTATACGAGTTCTGTTGATGACAGAAGATGAAGGTGTGTTTGAAGAAGTTGCTACAACATCAGAATATGATTTGGTTATTGTAGGGTAGATTTTGGAAGCCTCTGCATAAGAAATACTATTTTTAGCCATATGCTCTTTGATATTTTTTTGCCTAAAAATTCTTTACATATTTTATTTGTTGCATAGTGGGAGCCATGACAAATACAGCAAAATAACTCGTCCTCTGATGTACAGCTGCTTCCCAAATGACCATCCTTGCCACATTTAAAGCAGCGTGGAGTTGATCTACACATATCCTTGACATGTCCATATCGACAACATTTAAAACATTGTATAGTGGGGTAAATATATAAGTCTACAGGAAAAGAATTAAAACTTATGAAAATTCTTTTAGGAAGAATTTGGCCATCAAAAGTCAGGACAACTGTTTCCGTATTAATAAAATTGGCTTTATTATCCATAAATGTTTTCTTTTTTAATCGCCTAGCTTTTAAAACATTACCACAACCTGGAGGAACAGTAACATTCTGGATCACCTCTTCTGTCGACCATTCTTTGGGAATCCCTCTTACAATACCCATTCTAGTAACATGAAATAAAGGAATAAAGGCTTTGAACCTGTTACTCGAAAGTTTAGTATCGTTGGTAAAGTTATTCGAATCAAAAAAATTTGTAAATGAAAGAGATAGCCTGTTTCTGCCAATTCTCTTCAAACTTCCATTCAGAATATTTTTAAATGAATTATTTTTAAGGAATCGAGCAAAAGAGGGTGAAGTGTGACATTTTCATCTGGAGACAATCGTTCTTTTTGTATATGAACTACATATGGTCCAATATCAGAGGCTTGGTAAAGACGATTTGTATTAGTTTGAACTTTAGTATCAGACTCTTGTATCTTGTATTAACTGATGTTTTTGCTTTCAGTCCCGAGACTATTAAAGAGGCTAACCAGAACCCACGGGTTTGGGCCCTCCGCTGTGGGTAGGGCCGCGCATGTGCTCATGCGTGCGTTTAACTACGACATGTCATCTAAGGGCCATCGAAGTTGCGGTGCGGACCGAGACCCCGATGGCCGTCGACTGTGTTTTTTTGAGCTAATCGGTGGCTGGGGGCGGTGAGAACCGCCCTGGAACGCGCGGTGTACCTTGTGTACGCGTTGTGTTGGTCTCGCCGTGCTCGGAGGCGAGGGCGAACTATTGTGTGTTTGTGTTACATTAGCTGTGGGTGTAGTGTTATCCGGCGGGACCCCCGGCGGTGGGTCCGGCGTATCTAAGTCCCCTTCCTCGACCGGGTCGATGAGGACGTTTCGCGGGCGACGCTTGTTGACGTTCGCCGTAGTATCAGACATATCACCTTGACCACTATCATTTAAACAAAAACAGCCGTTCTCTTTATCTGCCTTGCCATGACGCTTTCTTTTCTTATTACAATGTTTGCATATTCTTAGAGCATTTGTGCGCTTTCTCGGTAGCAATGCATTATTAACTGAACTTGCATCCGTATCCATCGAAGATTCACAATGCTCAATTGTGACATGGTGAGATACCTGTGGGACTGTGCCCCCAGGATCGGGAGGTTCGTCTCCCATGGAAGAAACAAAATAAATTAGTTAAAAACTTACCCTTACGAAACTTACCCTACGAAGAAATATTTACACTAGCTACAAAATATACACTAAAAAGAACTAAAATAACAAATATTTACCTATTATTCACCTATCTGATCTATAAAAGATTTTTTCAAATTTTAAATAAAAAAAAAACACTCCGCTCTTTCGACGTTTCCCGCGCTTTTTTCAGATTGCATTTCAATAACATTAGAAGTTAACGATGCGCTATGAGCATGCAATGAGTATCTATTAACATTAAACACGAAGCCAGAGTTGCGTTCAATATATATCGAAATTGACATGAATTCGATACTCTAAAATAAATATCGAATATCAGGCATCCCTAATTATTATCGGTGACAGAACGGTCGTGTGATTGGCCTAAAGGTCCTTGATACCGCGCCATAAAATCCAAAAAAAAAAACGGTCGTGTGATTATGTCATAAATTATGTCTAATTGTCTATGTGCAACTGCAATGTGCATTGTGTTGTGAATGTAATTCAAATTTCAAATAGTAACTTATCTGAATGTGATTTTATATACCTGATATGATTCTGTAATTGTGCATTGCACTGTGCAGTTGCTTGTGGAGGGTTACCTACTGTTTCATTATTTTCTTTTGATACATGGTTGCTATCTGTTTTTGTTATTTGTTTTTATCTCACTGCTTCAAAATGAATAAACGAGGCGTCGCTTTGAATGGGAGAGCTCGAGAGATTGTCTGCAATGTAGACAAATATTTTGAGAGCGAAAAAAAGCGCAGCCTTAAATTGATAGACGAATTAAAGATAGCTAGCATTTACTCTGGACCAGATAGAAATATAATGTTGACTCGTGAAGTGTACACAACTATTTTTCAAAACCTGCAAAATGCAAGTAAGGTGTCCGAGCGCGTTTATTTAGCCACTGGTATAAATAAAAATACTTTGACTCGTATTCGTCGTGAGGCGAGAGATGCGGAAGCTAGCAGCAGCATAATAACTACACCAAAAAAGAAAAAACGAGGTAAATCTGATTACCTTATTGCCATAGGCAACACAAGTGTGGCTTTATACACTTGTTAATGTCCCTATGCTGGGACGTGAATGGACAAGGTCGTCCATTTCAGTTCTACCAGTGAGTGAGTTAACTAAGGTTTACTTTTGGTGTTCAACTCCATGGCAGATGTCCATGGGTGGTGGACATTAATTAAAATCTGACGCCTGCCAGCTTGTTTGCCGCTTTTCAAATAAAATAAAGAGATACAAGGTACACCTGCGTTCCAGGGTGGTTCTCACCGCCCCCAGCCACCGATTAACGAAGGGAACAATACAACAATACAAATCACACTGACCTTCTATAGATCTCATAAACACAAGATACTAAAGCAGCTAATGACCATTTAAACTTTCTTTTACAAACTTTAATTTGTCCTTGTGAAGAAACGTTTTTCAATGTTTGTCTGTTGCATGAATGGGCAGGCCCTTCCAGGTAAGTACCACAACCTCAGAAGACCAGCATAAAGTAGAAGTATTACACGCTTTTCATCTAGTGAGTGAGGTAGCCGGGGCCCACTTTAATTAAAGCTGACAATGCATTTGTAACCAATTATATTTATAATTCCAATTTATCAAATTATGTACATGTTATGTAGTGTAAGCACACCTAATTTTTTTTAATTACCTTCAAAACGGTTTTATGTGTAAAGTTGTCTGTAGCTTGAAAATATTTGTCATACTACTTATTACATGTGTGTATTTTAAAATCCCCAACCAACATAAATTATTATTGTTTATTTCCAGGTGCCCTCAACAACAATGCAAGTAATGAGGTTGAGGACAAGCAGGGAAGCATCAAGGTGGTGCAGTTAGCTGATCTTCAGAAGCCGACTAGCAATAAACTTGAGGATTCTGATGGTACATGACCCTCTTATTCTACTTTTTGCTACGTTGGTATTGGCTAGGCCACGACCGACTGCATCCGTAAAGTCAACCCTCCTTGGGAACAATGGGAAATATCCATGGGGGTGACTCAAATACTTGTTTCGTTTTATTATCTGAAAAGTTGGGTAGTAAGTATAATACATACTTGCACTTCACGCTGGTATTCTGTGAGGCCGTGTTACTTCCCCAGACGAGCCTCCCCATTCGTGTAACAGTCGTAGCTGCTGCAGGGCTCTACCACAATGATTTTTCCCCAACTATGAAGCCAATTGCAACCATGTTCAACTATTGTTTCAATACTAGCATAGTTATACAGCATGTCGTTACCATCTCGACAATAAATGAACACACATATAGGGGATAACTTTTTAAAGTTGTATTAAACATTTAAATTCTTTAAACATCAATATTGACAGAGTTATTAAATTTTCCAAAACAAAGAATTTTAGAACACCCTTACCTATAAAAGCGACACGTAAAGTTCATTTGTAAAGGTCACGAAGCATATGAATGGGTTGAATGAATTTAAAAGAGACAAAACATACTGTTAGAAGGAGAGGCTTGTAATGCGACGCTGTGGCGCGAGTTGTATAGGATGTTACAAATTTTGTTTCTTTTTTACTTATTAGTTTGTTTGAAAAATATTTTTTTTTAATTATGGATTTTGTTTAACGTTAATATTTTTTTATGATTATTGGCAAGTAGCGTTAGACGTGTGTTCATTTATTGTCGCGATGATAACGACACGCTGTAGAAACTCTTCATCATCAAAATTTGACAATTCCCTTGGGAAAGGGTTGTCATTTATCTACTCAAAAATAAGGTGAAAGAAAGTCTAACAATCAAATAAATCTGTAAAGTATCTTTTTAAGAAGTGTTATTTCTTCATGTATTTGTTAGTGAAGTTGTAGTTGGTTGATAAAATATCAAGATTAATATAGAGAATATCTGTCGGGATTATTCTGCACCTATAAAAGTTATAAACATCACTTCTATCTCCATTGTTTAAAAGAAATAAATCAGATCAGAAAAGTCGATAAATTGTTGATAATTATGGTAAAGAGATTCAGTAGTATAATAATAAATATTGGTGTGAATTGGAACTGTTTGCAGCTTGAAGGCAAGTCTTAAGGACAAAACACCCTTCTGATAATGCGAATGTCAATCTTCGCATGATATCAGGGGAATGAGCTATTGTTTTGCCTGTATTTAGTCCTAGAGTATACTTTATTGCACATAAGGAAATACATAGAAAAAAAATACAGGAAACATAGTGTATACAGCGTGTCGTTACCATCGCGACAATAAATGAACACACATATAGGGGATAACTTTTTAAAGTTGTATTAAACATTTAAATTCTTTAAACATCAATATTGACAGAGTTATTAAATTTTCCAAAACAAAGAATTTTAGAACACCCTTACCTATGAAAGCGTCACGTAAAGTTCATTTGTAAAGGTCACAAAGCATATGAATGGGTTGAATGAATTTAAAAGAGACAAAACATACTGTTAGAAGGAGAGGCTTGTAATGCGATGCTGTGACGCGAGTTGTATAGGATGTTACAAATTTTGTAACATCCTATACAAGTTGTATAGGATGTTACAAAATTTGTCCTATACAGTTTCTTTTTTACTTAATTAGTTTGTTTGAAAAATATTTTTTTTTAACTATGCATTTTGTTTAACGTTAATATTTTTTTTATGATTATTGGCAAGTAGCGTTAGACGTGTGTTCATTTATTGTCGCGATGGTAACGACACGCTGTATAGTAGAGTCTAACAATATTTTGTTATTTCAGAGATATCGGATAAGATGTGTATGGAGGACGACGAAGAGTCAGACTCCAGCGGCTCGATTTCCGACTCGGCCGCTAACGGTTCCCAAGATGACCGCACGCACGTTTGCGATGTCTGCGACTTCAGGTACGATAAATGCGAACATTATTACTCGAAATCCGCTCTTTTCTGGCATCTATTCCACAATATAGTCCGGTCAACCTATTTTTTTCTTAGCCTTCATAGAACAGTTATTTAATATTCTATGTGTAACTATATGAACATCCCTTTCTTTTCTTTTTCTAATTTTTTTAGCGATAAACCCATCGCTCTATACCACAAATAGCATACGAAGTCATTAAATCCATTCGATACTCACTCACGAACGACGGAATAGAAACGCATCCGCTGTAATAGAGCATGACTAATGAACGAGAAGGATCGAAATGCGTATACAATCGTTCCGTACGAACGAACGGCTAACGTCGTTAACGGGCGAACACGAGTTGTGAACGAACGAATAAGGATGAAGGCCATTCTGACAGTTCACTATTAACGGTCTCGCTCCGCTGTTGCAGGTTCCAGCACTCATCTCAACTGTCGCTTCACCGGCTCACGCACACAGACGAGCGGCCGTTCGCGCCCTCCGACAAGCTGCACGTGCACACCAAGATTGAGCGGGTACGGGCATGGATATAGTCGGATAGCCCCCCCCCCCCCCCCTCACACACACACGCATAGGATCGTAACCTTAAGCCTAATAGAATTGTATTTCTTTTTAAATTATTCCAAACTTCATCTTAACATGAAATAGAAAGGCCGCTATTGTTTTTGTTCGACTTTGGCCACTTCTTTCTGACTTTACCCATTATATTTGTGGGATTGCATATTCTTTATAATCTAAGTACTATCTCAATGGGGAAAATTGTCAAAATAATTCCTTATGGTTGCTAAATCTATTAATTATAATGCACATAAATATCTTAACATATAGTAGACTGCTTACAGCATATTAACATTTGGGCCGCCAACAGGAAGATCCCGTCATAGACGTGGCCATCGAGGTCATGATCAAGCGCGAGGACACCGGCTCCGAGGGGATGTCCAGAATAAAACGCACCACGCACCCTGAGTCCGGCCACCCCGTGTTCACCGCCAGCGCGGACGTGATGCTATCGCCGCACGCAGCCCACGCCCACGCCCGGTTGCAGGCCCACGCAAACGCTGACGCCTTTACGAACGAGTACACTACAATCAAGCGCGAGAACACCGGCTCCGACGTGATATCCGGAATGGAGCGCACCGCATACCCGAGGTCCGGCCACCTCGTTTCCACCGCCGGTGGGGACTTGCCACCGCCGCACGTGTCCCACTCCCACGCCCAGGCCCACACACACGCTCATCCCACGGCGAACGAGGTCACCACGATCAAGCGCGAGAACACCGGCTCCGAGGGGATGTTTGGAATGGAGTGCGCCGCGTACCCTGAGTCCGGTCACCTCGTTTTCACCGCCAGTGAGTACGTGAAGCTGCCGCAGCATGTCGCCCATGCCCACGCCCACACCCAGGTGCAGGCATATGCCCACGCCGCCCCCGCTGTCCACGCCCACGCCCACGCACCGCAGCGTGATGGGCTCGAGCCAGGCCGTGGCAGTCGCCGCCCGTGTAAGACCCCGCGCCCCCTCACTGCCAAGATCAAGAAGCGCTGAAGGCCGCCGAAGAACTACCTGATGCCACTAGGACGTATGACAGAAAGTTTAAAATTCACAACAAACCTAGCTCCTCAATTGATAGAGTTTGCTCCGATGGTCTCGATCAAATTGTTGAGGGCAACGGGTGAGGCTCAGCAAATGAATTTATATTCAACACCCCGTGCAAGACAGAATAATGCTAAATCTATGGGACCAGCTCAAAAGAAATAAAAGTATGCTATCCATTGTATTGTATTTTGTGTGGAAGAGGTTGGATAGTAAGCCCTAACGACCTCTGTGATCTTGATGACCTATCTTGTAGTCTTACCTTTGAAAACATCGCCCCTTACTGCAGGATAACATTATCCTGTATTGTAAGGACATTTACATTTTTTTTTTTTCGAAAGTTTCATGTGACATTGTCTTGTTTCTTATTGATGTGCAAATTTCCAAATTTAATGAAATATAGCATCATTGCCTGAAGTTACCATCCCACCTCTATTTTGCCAGCCTTAAGTAAAGTATTTGAGAAAATAACTCAATTTTTTTTTTAATGTATAAAATTTTAAACAATTCAAAAATTTGTTTGTTAGTATCATACAAGCCTGCAGTCTTGAGAATACTTACATATTTTGCATCTTTGAGGAACTGTGTAAAACAATATGGTAAAATATATTCGCAAATCTGCCATTGATTTGATTGGTGACATTGAAAGTACCGAAGATTACACTGTATAAAACCAAGAATCTATAATCCATAATGAATCTTGTTAGACGTATGAAGAAATAAGTGCCATCAACAAACAACTAATGCCCGATTTACATTATTCCAGGTCTAGTTACCCAGTGGCGCTGGCCTGAAATGGACGGGACTGGCGATATCGTCTACATATTTCCAGTCATTTAACTGATGTTGAATGGTCAAGACTATGGTAATGAATTCAAAAAAGCGGATGAGAAAGTTTTTAAAACATACGCAAAAGTTAGTGTTACAAGAAGTTATTGTTGAGGTTGATATGGAGCCATGAAAAGGAACGAATTTGGGTGAGAAATTCGATCAGCAGAATCAGATCAGAGAAAAAAAAGGAGTTTTGATAATGCTTTTGCAAGAACTGAAGGCAGAAGACCCTACTGAATATAGATTGGTGAAGAATGACAGCATAAGAGTGCAGCAGAGAACAAGACCGCAGAGTTTCTTCCTAGTTCTTCTCTGATCAGGTCTAGTTTAGTGACACGGTGGTAGTTTTTTTGACGTTCAATAAGAGCTTAAATTAAACCTATTTTTTTAAAGAAAAAAAATTTTACTTTTACTTCAAAAAGCGTTGAACTGTTATCATTTGTTTCATATTATTCAATGTAACAATATGTTCTTCAGAGATGCTTTAGCTGCGAAAATATAACTAGACGTCACTCTTTCTTTCTTAAGAACAGGAGACAGTTACAGAAACCCTTACGCTTTTATTGCCAATCACCACTTTATAAAAAATTATACCTCTGTCCTGTTATAATACTATTGCCCTTAGTAACTAAAAAGGTTAATGATTGTTTTTGGTTTTGTTATCGAAAATCTTTAGCAGATAACAATCATTTTAAATTCATGGAATAGACAACTTTTGTGTAATTAAATTTAAAAACTAAATAAAAACTATTTGAACAATTAACAGTTTTTTATAAACAACTGTTGAAACTGTTAATTGTTCGGCGGTATATAATTAGAACAGATTTCGAAAAATCCTTTATGCAGGAATTCCAGGAATACACAGGAATTTCTAATCGCCACGCAGTGTTTTAATTGGTTTGATGAGACCAATAGTCTATGGGTGTTCAGAAAATGAAATTGTAGGTTTTCCAAATATCTCATGTTTACTGTCATATTAGCAGTAACTGATGTAGCACCTCTGGCTTCGTTATCGAGATACGAAAGCAAGCTGCTAAACTTAGATATTGTTGTAGAAGGAAGACAGATCTTAGACACTTCAGGCGTGTTCTATGTGAAGAAGCTTGGAATCTTTCAGAAGATAGATATGTAGCGGATTTTTTCTTTGTGACTGAAATAGCATTTTCTGCATCAATGTGTTTTAAATCGTGAGTCTTTGATATAAAAAAAATAATGATCATTGCACTTAGAATTACTTATTGATTTATGTTCCTGTGTTGGAACTATTTGGGATTATTTGAAAAGAATAGACGAAGAAAACAGAAAAGGCACTTATGAACACTGAAAAGTTTTAATTTCCATTAGTAAACCAGTATACATATTAGTATGCTTGTTTATTCTTAAATAACTTAATGTATTCATTTTTATGTATCCATAGCAAAAGACTAAAGATGAATGAACTTTAGAGGATACAGTACACAATTTATAAACAATTGTTACAGCTAAAGTCATGCTACAATATGCATTATTGTTTGTTTCACTTACGATCTCTTAAGTTGTTATTTTTCCACGATAACTAAAGGATACTATACATACAAAGTAATGACAGTGGTAATGATAAAAAACATATATAAAACCCACGTTTAAAAAAATATTTTCTTTGCTAACGCGCGTCACAACCGGAATGGAGTAAATAGGAAAGAACAGGCAAGTTGATGAAACATGGTTAGGACATAAAAGTTAGACTGTTTCCTAATAATAAATGGAAAAATTTACATTTAAAAGTACATTTCATTACAATCACTGATAAAGATTTCCATCTACGCAAATTATAATATAAATAATGCACAAACTTAACCGAAATTATCATTAAATTTTTATATAATTAAAAACATTTCATATTTGGATTACCATCGCTAGGAATAGCTTTGCTAGAAGCGCAACATCTATTTATTATGCGAAATGGACTATTTATACATACAGATAGGATACACATAACAGACATTTAACTGCCGGGGGGCGGTGGGGGCCTTGCGACCCACTGCATCTGAGGTCCGTTGTAGCCGGCCCCGAATATCGGGCCGTTCCTGTAGGGTAGGACGTTCATCGGGTGCATGGGTCCTCGGATTGTGGGGTTCACGCCGAACTGGTATGCGTTGGCCATGAAGGGGGGCGGCGTGGCGGGGTTGAAGGGGGGCACGCGCATTCTGGCTTGGCTGTACGGCGCAAACGGCGAATGTGCCGAGTGGTCGATGGCTGACGGTGTCCGTATCTCTTGCGGGGTCCACGGGTTGACGAACCTCGCGGCGGGGTTGTGGCAGCTGCGTCTGGCCGCCACGAATGGGTTCCGTCCCCTGCTCGGCCCGCCGCCAAAGCGGCTGCTCGACTCGCAGGGCCTCTGCCCCCTGCCGGCCTCCTTCCTGGCCTGCTGCCTCGACGTCTCGCCCCCTTCCGTCGCCTCCTTCCCCTGCCTGCTCTGCTCGCGCCTCGATTTATTCGCGCGCCGCTCTTCCTCGTCGTCCGAGTAGTCGACGTGGTTCGGCGGCGGCTCCACGTCGTACAGCCACGACGCGTCCGAACCCTTCGCTCTAGAAATTACATTGCGTTAATAGTAACAACACACAAAGTATGTGCACTTGAATGGAAAAATATGTTATGCAAAGAAACCATTTCGATATCGATTTTAAAGTTTTTTATAGTGCTAATCTCTGCACTTAAGATTGAACATTAAAACATGTAGAAAAAGTACGAAAAGATTGTCACCGGTTTAAAGAGCTTTATTGCGATAAGAACTTCACTTATTGATATTCATTTCACTTGTTGACATTTAATGAAACTTTTTTCAAAATAAAAGTACATTTTGAAAACATTAATATGCTTTTTCAGTTTAACGTTTCACTCTTCTATTTTATTTGGTAATTTGGTGAACAGCTGTAATCTTTCTTACATTATAATGGTAAAAAAAAGATAAAGCAGAGTTTCTTGCCGGTTCTTCTCTGGCAGTTCTAGTTTAGTGAACCGGTGGTAGTTTATGACGATCAATAAGAGCTTTAACTAAGCCTGAGCTAAGAATAAAGAAAGACTCTGAGCATTTAAAGTAGTGCTGTATGCGTGCGTAAATCTCTGTCCTACAAATTACTGTAGTATTTTTTTCATGTGTCTTGATCAGTTTTGTAACTGTCTGGTATAAATAAAACACTGTCGGACATTTTGGCACAATTTATAGCGACGAAAACCTTTCAACTTTGAACTTTGGAACACACAACACAAACTTCAAGCCTTGTTCAGAATGATTTTCGTTAGACTACTTATTAAAAGGTGACAACGCATATTAAACCCTGCCTTTTTTGCAAATGTCCATGGGCGGCGGCTGTCACTTACCACGAGGTGATCCGGTATGCTCGCTTGCGACCTTCTAACATAAATAAAAAGGGTTAGTTTGAGGCAAACTCACTTCATCAGCTCCGTGAGGAAGACGTATTTAGTTAGGCAGGAGGTGCCCGGCGCTATGTACACCTCCATGCCCGGTTCGATGCCCCGCTGCTTCACGTGATCCTGCGAATTGAACCTGACGCAGTAGTTCGGTTCGGTCACCTGAAATCAAACGTATACCGTTTTATACGTTAGTTTATAGAATACAAACTATTCACACAATTTAAAACTGTCCATGACGAAATTTTTAAAAAACATTAAGGCATTACCAAGAAGAAGCACGTTCCAATTCCGGCACCGAAAATAATTCAATAACATAGAAATTTTGAAAAGTTCTACTTTAAACATAACTAAGTCTTAAAGGTAAAGTAACAATAGCAGTTCCCGATAAAGGATTTTGACCATTTCAATTTTGCTAAAAAAGCGATAGGTACATCGAGTAAGATACTTTTAAACAGAAATATACGGAAGATACGATTGAAGAAGTGAATACAGAGCTCAAAAGTTAAATTAACGTTGCTGGAGGTCAAAATAAATTACACTAAGTGGATATCGCAATTGAAACTGTAAAATTAAAAAACCCAAACCCGTGGGCTCTGGCTAGCCCACCGGTTCTGCGTCAGATGAAGCTTTAATAGTCTCGGGACTGAAAGCAAAAACATCAGTTAATACAAGAAGAAAATTAAAAAAAACAGACCAAGGGAAACGTTTCATTTTAAGTGCAGAGACTAGCAATAAAAATAAAAAATAAATTCTGCTGCAATTATCTAACTTTTATAAAACCTAATCTTATCTGGACTTACGCCAAATGCGTCTTTTGTTTTAGGAGGGTCAGCAGTTCGAGTTACTAGTCAAAGGACACACTAACAAAATCTTTGATCAATATTAATCTAGGCCCCTCCGAGTTAATTCCCCGAGACACTAACAGCAAACACGGAGAAAACTTTATAATCTTATGGATCAAGTTAATTACAGCATCATCGCTCTCACGACCCCGACCCGATTCCCAGCTGAGCAACAGAAATTACCCAGCATCTTCGACATTAGTTGTTGGATGCCTAGTCGATAGAGGCCGTCAGCCACAGATCGGTACCCTGTAAGATAACCTACTAGGGATGTAAAGAAAGCCTTCGATCTCACATGTCTACTGTCATCGAAGAATCGAAGTAGATGGCTCGAAAGCCGGGCATTCGACACTTAAGTCTTCCATTCCGATGGCTAATTAGAGAATTTTCTACGAGCGTTATTGAAACGGCGTCAACTTTGAGCTGGGAAACCCAACAAAAACGTAGAACGCGATGTCATTAGCTTCTCAAATTCAAAATATTAGAAACAAGGTCGGTTCGTGTCCGGCCAACTCTATCATATAAAAAACCTTTCAAGTAAATTATCCTCATTCTATTTCCTCATCGCCCTGGTTGTAGAACGGAACATAAGTATCGACCCCACCAATGGTGATATTTGTAACCAGTTATTTTACAAAGGTTAGGTTCAATCGCGTTCCAGGGCAGTTTTCACCTCCCCTAGCCAGCGATTGATACAGTCAACAACCATCGTCACGAAGGTGACATTTCACCCAAATAGATAACGCATGAGCACATGCGGTCTACCCAACGAGGGGGGCCGTTACAAGCTCGTAGGATTCGCCTACTCTATACTTTAACAATGCACAGGCTAAAAGCTAGAATATCATTTGAAGTATAGTATGTACCAGAAACTATTATTTTTATATCCATAAACCAATACTTGTCATGTCCCAATCCCAACACTTAACTGGGCTGGTTTAACTGTTTTGTATTACTATTAATTATGTTATTGGCATTTAAAGGAAAAACTGCCAAAACATAACAAAAGAAAAGTTTCTAATATAATATCAAAATAGAACTGGCTTTAGAAATAAACAATGCAAGAAAGACATTAAGTGATGTTTAGTTTGTATGTCCACCCATACAAATAGGAGATTAGAAAATGGAGTAAAATTGTAACAATGATGGAACCTAAGTTATTATACTATGAAAAAAATGTATATGGATAAAATAAAAAAAATATGTCTGTATACTAAGGTAAAGAAAAAATATTGACTTACCGGCCCAAATACATCGAACACCTTACCCAATGCTTTACGTCCACTTTCAAGGAACAATATGGTGTCTAAATCGAGAGCTGGAGTCGCGGGATATGCGCGAACTACCACTGTGCAATAACATTAATAATTAACACATGTAAATCATTAATGCAAAATATTTAATAAATGCAATTATTTATTATAATTGATTCACAGGATATTAATTAAAAAGTTAGATTATGTTTAAAAATTCATTAGGGAAGTTTCCCAAGTAACTGAAAAATTTTATAATAATATATAACATATTGCCTCATTAAATTACAATTATTGAATTCAATAATTGGATCACAACCTTATACATAAATACATTTTCTAATAAGACAAGATGTTTAAAAATTTATAGAATACAAATTTTTATTCCTCTCATTCAGAATATTTAATTAAAGTAGCATAATAAACATACGTTATTATTACCTAATCGGTCAACAATACTTGTGATGACTCCTATCTTAGTGGTGTCTTTGGAATCCAAGCTAATAACAAGATCTTCAATTGGTGGTAGATCATCCAGCCCTAATTCACCATGTACTTTTATAGGCTCCACTTTTCCTATTTTCTCGCCACCATTCTCATCCCTTTAAAATATAAAATTATGATAATTTATGAGAAAACAAAATGGAAGATTGCATTAATCTTATTAAGAATTATTGAAACTTCAAATTTTTTTGTTGTTATTATAGAACTGATGAATTAATTAATTGCAGATATAAACCAACAAAATACTAATATATTATAATGCCTTCATTCATACATAAAATAAAATAAAAAAAAGTGTGTGTGTACTTATGTACATGTGTTAGAAGTTATCTTCTTTGGCGTAACAAGATAAAAATCTATTCAAAAATTCTAAATTTGTAGAAAAAACGACATTAACTTGTTTAAAACAAGTTGTTTTTATCTAATAATAGAGTAAGTATTTTAGTTGTTACAGTGTCATTTGATTGGGGAAAAATTAAATTTGTTTGATGATAAGTAAACTGGGTAATATGATATAGTTTTCAGAGTTAAATTAACTTTAAAAATACCTCCTTTTACCTTCTGTTTATTGTATATAATTAAATTATAACATCGACGTCGTTTCCACATGATTGAAGGTCATGGGCAAAAGATATAATGACATGTATAAATAGTTAATATATAGTTAATGTAAAGATATAAGTGGTTAAAAGAGGATATTATTGAATAAAAAAACTATTTTCATACCCGCTAAAGAGATCGTCGATACTTTCCACTGATTCCACCGAGCCTTCATCACTTGAACTCGAGTCACTATCTTGAAGTTCGAAATCTCTATATTCTGTTACCTCATATTCCACCACACCACTCTCAGAATTATCTATTATCATATGTCTAGTAATCTCAACATCTTTCCTAGCTGATGCTGTAGATAATGGACCATGAGCGCAAGCATTTATAATGTTATTTTTTAACACCATTTCACTAAGTTCCGTGTTATCAGAGTCATCATTGATAATTTGTCCTTGCGGCCGACTCCCTGCTTCCTCTGATTCAGAGTCTGATGTGCCGTAATCGGCCACCAAACTCTGAGACACGTTCTTATTATTGATTTCATCGTGTTTTTCCATCGTGATGTACAAGTTTAAAATACTTATCTACTTGGAATCGATATCTAATTTGAAATAAATAATATTTAAGACTGTACTAAGTAGAAAAACTTGTTTTACTTTACGTAACCATACTTCAACAAAAGAGCACATGTACCAAAATTGGTTTCGATTTAGGAAATAAAGCAGAAGCAGACACAAACGTGAAAATGCAGAAAAAAATCACTCCTCACTATTATTGAAATTATGACAGCAGTCATGCACAGATAAAAGATTAAGGAATTCATAATGAAGTGCCTACATGTAGAAGTAGATTATCATAATGACATACAAGTGAAACGAAACGGACTCCTGATTTTCTAAAAAACAAGTTTTAGAAGAAATTTCCTTAATTTCTCCGTAATTGTTAATACAATATAATTGTTAGATATAATTGACAGTTAAAGTAAATCGTTCCGGCTATTTTCACGACGTATGTCAATTTCCCTCACCGCGTGAAAATCTAGACGTCGGGGAGGCAAACAGGGCATACTTTTTAATGGCAACGCATCTGCAACCCATCAAAGGGTTCTAAATGTCCATAGGAAAAAAATCTCTTCAGGTGTACCGGCTGCTCGCTTGCAAAACATCTAAATCTCATTCTCATTTTACAGCCAAACAATGCAAGATCAAAGGCAGGCCAAGCAGATATTGATATAGTTCTCAAATATTGGTACTTTTAACTTTATTTATATTCAAAAACACTGACACCAAGAGACATCAGTAGCAATATAAAATCTATGGAATAAGGCACCACGCTTTGATCTTATTAAGAAGATTATTGAAGAGAAATCAGTATTGTTAATAATATATTATATTAATTAATCAATATTGTTTTCTGCACCTTTTTAACGGCATTAAGAATAAGATACTCTGCAGGTCTGTGGGGTCTCTTAGGTGGTAATGATTTCCAAACCCGGTAATACCGACCAGTCTATGATTAATCCGCAGTGGGGCTGCTTGGTGGACTATGCCCCCTAATACCCTCTGTACAGAGGAGGCCTTTGCCCAATGCTGTACTTGGACTGCTTTTGTATACTCAGTACAGCACTTGACTTACTCCAATACTCTGTTATTGCAATTGCGACTTGTACGATTATACAGGAATACTTAATTCAAGTAAATATTCTGTTCATGCTTCTGAAATGTTACACAACAGCATAGCTGAAGTAGAATGTAAAGCCAAATGGAAATTTTCTGCTAGTGTGTTTAATGTGTCTTTCACCAAATCTTTCCATGTGACTTTATCATTACTTTGCAAGGAACTCTAATACATCATCAAGAAGCCATGAAATATTTATGGATGCATTGAAATCGTTAGATTTTGATAGAAGAAAGACGTTCAATATTCATGATGAACAAGAGAAGTTTAATCGTTGAATTTAATTAAAATTATTTAATAGTGCAACAATATATTTGCAGCCATATTTTTATTTTTATTACGTACAAAATACACAATATATATAATTAATAAAGGGGTGTAAATAATATCGTCCTGCAATTAACTGATTCGTGTGGTATTTATGAATTAAAATTATTATTCTTGAAACGGCACAGCTGGAAGTAATTTTCCCTCACAACTGCCGAAACCAATTCGGACGCCATTTTCACTGAGGCAATAGCCGCGCAATGTGATCGTGTCGCCATCTTGTAAGAACTTTCTTTCTTCGCCATTAAGCAAGCGCAGGGGCTTTGTTCCTTTCCAGCTTAGTTCCAGCATACTCCCGTAAGAGTCAGAAGTCTATATGGAAAGCAAATAATTAGTAAACTTAACGAAAATATTGTCGACAGTTAATAATGCTATTTTAATGAACATTAAATTAAGTAAAACATTAAATATATTACATGAAATAGGAGCGACACAGAACGCGATTGAGACTGCGGCGAGAAGGTAATTATCACCACGCAAACCTTAAATGAGATTGAGTTCAGTTGACTCTGCGGTGTGCGAAAATCAGATCATATGCGCAAAATAATAGTACCAAGCTTTTTAATTACAAATACCAAAATACTTGATTGGAATCAGAACTACAAATAAATTATTTTCAATTAACCTACTATTAGGAACACTTGTTTGCAAAAAAATTTAAATTAACAAAAGAAAACAGACCTTTTAAAGTAAAGTATCAGCCTATGCATGTCCCACAGCTGGGCAAAGGCCTCCTCTATACAGAGGGTATCTCTCTTTTAGTAGTATCGGCGGTAAAATTCTTAGTGAAAACTCTCGGTTCTAAGCAACTTCAATTATAGCTGCATGGACCTACTATATTATACTAAATTTGTGAGTGAATACAAATGAGATGGTGATGATTAAACTCACATCGCCGCTGATGGTGCCTGACCCGAGTAGGTCTCCTGGGCGGAGATTGCACCCAGTGACGGTCTGTTGGGCCAGTTGTTGCTTCACCGTCCAGTATAGAAAGCGGTAGTTGGAGCGGCTGATGGTCGTTGCTACTGGTGAAGTCTCGGCTACATAAATATAAAGGAATGATAAAAACTGTGAACTTTAAAAGCGAGCGGAGTTCCTTTGTATCGGGCGTTTTAAAAGCGTTTTTTTTTCTTTTTTTTTGGCGTTATTCCTATTAAATGGTACGAGAGCGAGAAGGCGGTTCTCCAAATTTTAAGTGATTGTCATTACTTTCGCTCATCGCTGACCTTCTGTAACCGTGTGAAACGAATCATCTGCTTCTTGGGGTAATTTTTTACAAGTGCATAATTCTCTCAGAAATGTTATTATCTGACCTTACGTTGATATTATTTATACCAAATTTATATTATTATACCGACGTTAGTATCAACGATTGGGTTATACTCATGTCATCCTTATCATCATTACCCTTCATTCCATCTAGAAGGTGTTGTGGAAAATTAAAAATCTGTGGGCCCTCAAATACTAGTCCCGTGTGGGAATCGAACCCATGAACCCAGACGCCGAAGCCAATAACTAAACAACGCCGCCACTGCGTCATCCACACAAATCTTATAAATCGTAGCTTGGTCCAAACAGAAATCTCCTTGTCCCAATCAAGCAGTTTCGCCCTCAAAGAAGTTTAGTTGGTATATACTTAGTGCGTACGTACGTTTCAAGTCGACCTCCAGCTTTATGTCGAAGTTGAATTTGTCGTCGTGCCTCAAGTAGGGGAAGGGGGGTTGATCCTGTGGGTAGTTGTCCACGATGTAGGGGCGCAGCGCCTCGACGGTGACCACCCACGGGGACACCGAGGTGCCCACGTTCTTGGCGGTGAACGGCCCCAGCGGGACGTACTCCCACTTCTGTATGTCACGAGCTGAGGCGGAAAAAGCCGAAGACATTTTTTTTATTTGAAAAGTGGCCAAGCAAGCAGGCGTTTCATGACGTTAAATGAATACCGCCTCCCATGGACATTAAAACCGATGGCTTGCTGATGCATTGACAACCTTTGAATAAAAACCGGCCAAGTGCGACCCGGTCTCGCGCACGAAGGTGTCCGTACCATTCATCTATAAAAACATGTCTGTTAAATAGGGGCCCCACTTAAACATTTTTTTTTGTTCCGTTTTTTTTAGTAATATGTTGTTACAGCGGCAACAGAAATACATCATCTGTGAAAATTTCAACTGTCTAACTATCACGGTTCATGAAATACAGGCCAGTTCAATCTTAGTAATAGGGTCCCGTTTTACCCTTGTGCACGGAACCCTAAAGACTAGGCTTCGGTTAAAGCACCACACCTTCACCAGACGAAACAGTACTTCCACTCGGCTTCGAGGTAGTTCAACACTTCCACTTCACGATGGTCTTCTGTGAGGCCGTGGTGCGTCCTCGGACGAGCTTGCCCATTCGTGCAACAACACAAGCCGTCGCGTAACCCTACCACAGAAGACCGATCCGATCACTAAGAAGACGAAGCTTTTGGCGTAGTTGATAGTGGACGTGTCTCTTGGGCCAAAAAGTTTGGGTTCGATTCTGTGGTTGTGGTTCTACGGGAAAAATTATGTACGATGAACATTGTTTTTTCAATAGTGATTTTATGACTCTTTTCATAATAATTTTTGGCTGTATTAAAATAATTAGAAGCTTTCGTAACTTTAAGTATTCAACACGCTTTCATCAGCTTCAGTTCTTTTGTAATTGTGTATCATCAAATGCGTATCGCTGCGTAAATGTCTGTTTGATATTTTTATGTTGAAACAAGCATAAGGTAACAGGCTAAACCATGATAAGTGGTGGTAGTTTTTTTTTTCACATTCAACAACAGCTTAAAGCAAGCCAAAATATTGAATAAATAAATTTTATATTTCGAAGCCGAACAAGGGCACTAAGCAACCCTTTTAGTAGCAATATGCACTCTATCTAAAGTCCACTGCTCAACATAGTCCTTCCCTTAAGACTGCCACATTCACATAAGCATAAAAAAATGATATTTCGAAGATATGTGAAGTCCGCCAATCCGGAGTGGGGCCGCGTGGTGGACTATGCCCTGATGCCCTATGGCCTTTGCCCACCAATGGGACATGATACTTTACTTTATTCTTTATTTATTCAATTCCATTGTAGTTAATCACAATCGGTTAGCTTAGCACGGGGACCGGCTTACCGCTCCAGTCGTTCATGAGAACGAACCCGAAGAGTCTCTCCTCGGCCTGTTTCGCGGTGACCCTCTCGCCGAGCCTAGTGGGCGGGCCCCCCACGAAGCAGGCCATCTCCAACTCGAAGTCCATCAGCCGACAGGGCCCGAAGTGCGGCTCGGCACCTTCACGAAAAGATCCTTTTTTTTTTTGCTTTTAACATTATCCTGCGTTGTAAGGACGTTTTACAAATATATTTCACGTGGACAAACACCCAAATGCGAACAACTATCTGTGGCGGACACAAATAGTTGTCCCGTGTGGGAATCGAACCCACGACCCCCGACGTCGATGCCAATGCCTTCATCACTATTACCATTAATATGTTTATACTACAGATATGTTGTAATTGTAAATACGCCCGAAGCGAAGCCACGAAAACATCCCAAGTGGGACGTCTCGAAAAGAGTTCAAGTTAGTTCCGGGGCTGCGAGTAAGACGCAGTGTCAACGCTTTAATATAAATTTTTATACAAAAAAGGCAATATTTTACAACAATAAAAATGCTATCGTTGGTATTTAAACGATGTAACAAGTACGACTCTAAAGTTAACAAAATTTAATAGATCTCATATCATGTACATAATGCAATACATCTTAGATTTATAAGTAGGTATATTTCAATTACTTTAATAACATTTCAATTTGTACATTAGAAAACAAAGAAAGAGGCAGGAAATAAGTTTAATACGGGGACTAGAAAGATGGATATATCTCGAAATATTTTAAACGATAAGGCCGCCAAATTGTACAACAAATTTGTTGTTCTTTTGTTACTTTTATGTATATTCTTATTTGTGGTGGACAATAAAAGTGTATTCATTCATTCATTCACTTACGCTAAAGTGACAAACACTTGCCGTCCTCTATTTTCTTATTGATTTAATTACGCTATCCTTTTTATACCATTCGACATATTATGTTGGAAAGTTGTGATGAACGAAACGTGTGAATGAGTGCTGCGACTTTGGAAACAGGAACACTTTAGAGCGGAGATTTTGTAAACGTATAACATAATTATCTATAGTATCTTATCCTTTAAACGAGCAATTCTTGTAATATGCAATATATATATGTATATATATATATATATATATATATATATATATATATATATATATATATTGCATATATATATATAATGGGAATCTCGGAAACGGCTCCAGCGATTTTCATGAAATTTAGTATGTGCGTAGATTCGGGGGCGAAAAATCGATCTAGCTAGGTTTCATTTTTAGAAAATGTCCTTTTACCCCTGTTTTCAGGGAATAAAAAATATAATTCGAATATGACGGTAAATTTCGCCGCAAGAGAAAATGTCATATTAAAACACACGGCCGTGATTCGCGTCGCGATCATTTACACACTTATTTTTTTTACGTTTTTTTCTATACCAGATCATTTTCTTTATTTTGTATTTTTTTTATTTCCAAAATACATGATTTACCAAAAAAAACCGAGCAAAGAGTACCTGGATGACCGCCAGGTACTCTTGTATCTTGTATTAACTGATGTTTTTGCTTTCAGCCCCGAGACTATTAAAGCTTCATCTGACGCAGAACCGGTGGGCTAGCCAGAACCCACGGGTTTGGGCCCTCCGCTGTGGGTAGGGCCACGCATGTGCTCATGCGTGCGTTTAACTATGGTGTGTCATCTAAGGGCGATCGATCCAGGTACTACATCATTGATCACTATACTGTAAGATAGCATTGATAAATAAAAATGCCATCTTATTTATTTAACACTACGTAACCTTTTTTAACTCGTGCGTTACAGCGAATACGTGTAGTCTAAGCTTTAATTGTTTATTTTTTTTTTCAACTATTTCGCAATCGGTGAAAGAAAGAAAAACACTGTGGCGTTTTAATATAATTATTCAAAGTGCAATTTGGCACCATTCTAACTTTTGTATTTTGACACAGTTGATGTTTTTGATTTCAGCCCGTATGCTTGTAAAGCGTCATAAACGCAGAACTCGTGTAATAGGAGCTCTAGGTCTAACAATGTGTTACACTATATGCCTTTAAAGTTGCTGTTGAGAGGTAATAAACAACTTGTCAACACCTTTTTAACCAGTAAGTTGGGATAGACATAACAAGGCTACAAATGGAGCGTATTTTAAAATGTTCTGTTTTTGAATTTATGACGCACATCTGTCAGAAAAGAAAGCACGGTGAATTTGTCAGATATTTCAACCTACCATCGACAGGCAGCGTTTGACCATAGGGCCTATGAATTGGTGTGCCCGATACAACGATGGAGCTGCAGCGACCGTGGTAACCGATAGGTATGTGTTTCCTGAAACGTCAAATATGTTTAGAATTATTGTTGTTATAGAGATATATATGGTTATAGACATTATAATGAAGCTGTTATGTTAGCTAGCTTATAATTTCAAAGAAAAAAAAACTTATTTTGGGTACCTAGATAAGTTTTGTATTTTTCTTCGAAAATTAATATTTCCGCAGCTTTCGACGTTACGAGTAACAACATTTGTGAAGTTGTAGATCCGTGGATTATTAAAAGAGTTTGTCAAGTTTGATACATGCATCCAACAGGCCTGAATTCAATATAGGATTTTTGGTAGTAAGATTTGATCTTTTATGTTTATGTCAATACCCACCGCAATTCGCTGTGGTTTACAACTAAGGCCCGGATACCAGGCTGTACTATCTCTTCTATAAATTTAAGTAACCGCCTATATATGTCCCAAAGCTAGGCAAAGGTTTCTTGAGTACAGAGAGTAGTCCACCACCGTTGGTGGATTTCACGTCTTTGAAATATTTCTTTCATTATTGTTTCGAAAATATACAGGTTCCCAGGATACATATGAATTGTTACCAGTTGGGCGGAAGAGCGTTCTCTTTTCCCCGGAACATAATCCCGACGTTAGTAGCGTGATGTATAGACGAATAGAAGTCAGAGTAATCGCCAATGTCAGCCGGAACCTGCATTTTCGCTTCACTTTGTTTGATAAATGCTCTGTAGAATGACAATACTTTCGGTTAATAAATTAAATTTGTACGAATAATAATAATTACATAATAATTACATACGAAGAATAATTTGTACAAAAAATACGAATGAGAAAACCTTTATGACTTTTCTCATTCGTCATGATGTGATAGTGCATTGTATTTATTTAAATGGTACGATTTGTTTACCTTTCTCTGAGGCCGGCGTCATTTTGTAAAGTCGCGTTAGAAACGTCCAAAAGACTTTGTATCGTGCTCCTAGCTTCGATCCAGTGAGATCTCGTCAAACCCATAAACGAATTGAGTTTTCCCTCCTAAAGTTGTAATCGGAAGGTTTTAATTTTCACATTTGTCTATAACTAAAATGTTTTAAATCAATAGAATACATTCTTTTGGTACAAGCAATCGCGATCGGGTCGCTACTTGCTATAGAAATAGTTTTATTTACGCCAATATGCTAAAATAGCTAGAAGACAAAATAACGTCAAAGGCCAGTCGTTGAATTGAACTTAAATATGTAATGCATTCGAACGTCCTTCACTTGTACCTCTATTTGTATATTATTATCATAACCGCGCTTCCATAAAGATAAAAGTGTGCCATAAAAATAATTCCATAAAGATAGTGAGTATTTAGTAGCATAATGCTTTAAACCTGTTTTTTATGGGAAGGAAAAAATTACGTTTTTGTTTTGTAAACAACTTTAATATAAGTTGCAAATCATCCCCTAATTTTTCAGTAGCAGGTACGAAAAGATCGTTAATGACCTTTCAATGGATGAATTAATGATATGAACGCTTAATGAAAAACAAATATTGTGCAATATATGTAAACGACTTTGTTGTTTCGTCGTAAACATAAACAAGAAATTAGCATAATGGTCACATACCTTAAAGACAAGTTGTTTATCTTTCAACAAGGGACCGGTGAACAAATGAGATATTACATTCAGATCTAGGATCCATTCGCCAATCGCGGCGCCGATATGATTTTCCGCCTGAAAAAATAAAAACGGTCATTAGACATAAATGCTTCCGTGATACGTTTTTAGGGTTCCCTAATGAAATGGTAAAACGGCTACTTGTCGATGTACCAGCAAATACTCAAAAACGGAATAAAATTTATTTATGTGTAGCTCCCGTACAACAGACATGATTCTTTTGCCGTATTTATAGATAATGGTACGGAACCCTTGGTGCGCGAGTCCGACTCGCACTTGACCGGTTTTTAATTTTACAAATGAGGACCATTTGCTAATTAAAAAAGCAGTATGGAGTTATCTGTACGATAACGCGGCTCACCTGATGCGAAGGCATTCCTGCCGACGTAGGACAATTAAGAAATCTAAACCCTCCACCTGTATGACATTATGAATAACTGCAGTAGTTTATTGTATCAATTAAATGGTTACACGCTTATATTCATAAATACGGTTTTCGATAAATATTTACAAACAGAAAGTAAAAAAAAAAATAATTTGGTCATATTAGTTTTTATAAATAGAACTAGCCGCGTGAAGCCAAAAGTGCATACAGACCTATTAGTACAAGTGAAAAAAATAACAGGACCTTAATTTACAAAAACAATTTTCAATAGGGTTTGTCAATTACGGTTTCGTCAAGAGGGATAGGAATTTGCAGTACACCCGATCCCGAACATGTTATCGATAATTCGCTATTACCGCACTCTTATCTCTAGCTCCTCACTGGCCGTGACATTGTGCTGCTGGCTAGAATTGTTGTTTTGCAAGTATACGTATTAACTGTAATTATTACAAGCATTTTATTTTTCTCATCGCAAACAATTGATAATTTATTTTCTAACGTAGACCTGAAGAAGTTACAAGGTGATATTAGCCCCCAAACTCGGACAGTAATTCATAACGTATTCCTGTTTGTGAATGAACTGAAAAGTGAAAATAAACCGAATAGTCCACGGCCAATACACATTAACAATAAACATTGATAATGCACCGAGGCAGCTAGCAATAGAAATATTTTTAGACAGTGTTTCATCTTATTAATAAATCATTTCGGACATAATATTAATTAAAATAAAAATAACATTTTATTACCTACTTTATTTATTTTTGTTAATTTATACGTTTAGTTTATTATTAAACATAGCCGATATTAGTAAATTTAAATAACTTTGACTAATTTTATATATGAAATCAAAAAGATAGCAAAGAAGGTAATATCGAAAGATAAGTCAAACCTGCACTCAAAATAGGGATGTGCAAAGTGAAGAATTATATATATAAAATATTAACACCAGCCCCGGTATATCGAAGAGAAAGTAGCGATATTTTCTCTTTATACCCCGTTGTCAAAAAAAAGATATATCAAGTATTAAACATTTGACACCACTATGCCGGATTCGAATTTGAAAAAATATCGGTCAAAATATCGATATATATAAAACAAAAATATCGTTATTTTTTCGATATCCCTAACTCAAAATAGACAGGTTCTGTGATCGTTCTAAAGTAAAAAGAAAAGAAACATGCTAGGTATGTAATGTACAAAACACACACACACACAATGTGTGGCACAATCGGCCTTTGCCAATTAAATTACTCGATTTATTTTGACAAGTAAAAGTTAATTAATAATAATTAGATCTAGTTCCCTAGATCGCCTATGTATTTAATTCAATACCTACACCTTTAATCCTTTACATTATTGATAACATCGCAAATACAAATAAGTCTGCATTTAGTTTGTACGGACACTCAGCACAATAAAATTAAAAAATTATAAAACTAATAATTATTGATAAACTACTCACATTTTTTGACGAAGTAAATACACCATATGGAAGATTTTCGATTGGAAAATCTGTATTTGGAGAATATTCTATAAATGATTTCATTTTGATGTGTCTTGATGTGCTGTTTTACACTAAATGTCTTATTTCACGCTAGGAAAACTTGTAGCAAATGTTGTTATGTAAATATGCTTGGCGGACTAGTTATAAAGCCGGCCGGTGAGTTGTCATTGGAATGTTGTAATTTGTAACCCACCAATCAAGGTCGCACTATTACTTATCTGATATTGTTATTTGTTGAGTATTTGAATATTAATAAAGAGTTAATTTAATGAATATAAGTATATTTGGTGTTTCAAATGTACTAAATTTCAGCAAAATTTTCTCTTTGCATATGTCTTGCATGAAGATAGTTGATATTTTTCTAAACCTTCATTCTTTTTCAGTGATCCAACAAATATAAACTATTTTTGTGTTTGTATTGATGCAATCTGTTTCTAAGAACACTTAGCATTAGGTTATTATTATATATTTTATAAATTGTCTTGTAGGGCAGGCAGTCCAGTGACGTACGCCCTTTACTTATCATATTGCCTAATGGGAATAATTATCTATATGGGACTTTCTTCTGTCTCTTGAATGTTGAGTACTATTCATGCGTTGCCAGAGTTAGGTTGGAAGTCCAATCTGTACGATTTCATTGAGTGTCTCTCGGACTGTTCTGATTTCCAGATCGTGGTTAGTTTGTTATGAATCAGTTGTAATTATCCTCAGCATTATGGACGGGAATCTTTGATAAAAGTCAGCAGCTGTGCCCTAATTTTGTACTCCGTAACTCCAGATTGGTTTAAAAAAAAATTAGTATAGAAGCAGTTTATTTTCTAATTATTGCTGTGATTTTTTGACATTTAGATTTAGTAGCCAGTACATTTTCCGAAGTTGGATTCCTAGTGATTTTCGTTTAAAGAAATTTTGTTTTCAAAGTCAACGAGAGACCTGTGGCAAAAATCAGATAGAGCACCAGACAAACAAACTCATCGTGGCATTCTTAATAGTTTTTCGGGAGTAAGTTTTTATTTTGTGTAATAAACCTTTGTTCAAAATAAAACATGTACCAACTATTTTTAATTCTATTGTTAAAGTTATAAATAGGTACTTAAGAAAAATGAAACAATGTTGGTACACATAACAATATAATTAGGTATGAATAAGACACAGACACCTGTATATTTACACATCAAAGTTGACTTTACTAAGAAGAGGGGCAATTGGACCCCGGCGAACCGTCTCGCGGTCGAAGGCTTCGCTCTTGAAGAGACGTTCGTGAGATTCCTTGACTGCCTGGAACATGTAAGAATTGGTGTATGGCAGAAGTATTCAACCTACAGACATCCCCTTGATCAGTATTTAGAAACCTTGAAGCTCGCGTTTGGGATTTGAACTTGGAATATTCAATGGCTTGCATCTACGTCAAGAATCAGGACCCAGTTTATCGTAATATTTAATGCAAAAATAAGTAAGTGTAATTCAATAAAAAATATAATAGTTAACAAGACAACCTAAAGAGCAGAATTGTGATACAACCGAGATTTCATTATCATATAGTTATATAAAGTGCATAAAGCATAATACTAACTTATTCTTGCAAATAGGAAGGACTATCCTATGTTTTGATATTATACCAGTCAATAAAGGCAATAACAAAAAAGTTTTCAAACAATAAACACTCTATTCTAAAAAATTATTATGATATACTAGAACTAACATACCTTAAATTATGATGATATATTCTATGATAGATACACTAACAATGTGTAGGAATACAAGTAATAACAATTATTTTTCTAAATCTGTAGAAATTAATAACTGCCTAAGTAAACCTTTATAAAATTACTATGAATAAAACAAGTAATAAAAGCTTAATTATTTTGATCCATTCCTTTTTACAAACTACTCAATTTAAATATAGTTAGGTATATAATACAGAAAATAAACCTTTATACCTAAAATTTATTACAAAATAATAATATTAGGGAAAACGTATTAACATATTTGGGTGTTCCATTTATTCAATGATGTACCAATATGTAAATTTGGGAGAAAGTGTATTAACACATTTAAATTTCATGTTAAGCACGGAGGAAGTAAACATTTTGTTTTAGTGGTCCCTAAACACTTTTTTTATGCTGAAAGTAAATACTCTTTGTTTAGCAAACTATTTAAAATACTAAAATTTTAAAGTAAACTTTGCTTGCGAATTTAGCGCCTTTATTTCTATAAATATGTCACACCTTAAAAGTAGAGATCTCAGATTTTCAGAATATATCCTTTAAATGAAATAAAATATACTAAAGTGTAAAAACAACACAACATATATTAATTAACAATTAACTAAAATTAAATTCGTTACTATACGAAATTTAGTCTTATTTATAAGACTTCACTAGAAAAATAAATGATTTGCCACCTAAGGGTTAATTGATAATAAACAGCATACCCATACACTACTTTAACATAAAACATAACAACTATTTACCTCTTATTACAGCTCTTAGCATATGTCTTTGTATTATTTTTATTGTAACAAGTAAAGGAAGCTTTTTTAAAACACGACATAGCGCATCAAATTCTTAGAGTTATAATGATAAAATTATGAAATATTTTTAATAATAAAAGGTATATAATATTAAGCATATCTACAAAAACAGGAGACTAAATAAGGATTTAAAAAGGTATTTAAAGGAGTTAATTTCAAATTGGCAAAGACATTGCATGTTATATCTTAAAAATTTAAAACTTACTAAGCCACAGTGCAACCTAAACAACGACACTAAATGGAACATATTCATAGCAGCTTATTTAATCAAGTCTTTTTAGTGTAAAAATATAGTATCATATTGTATAACCCAAATAACAATCCCATATTCCTTCCTCATATCTGATATGGCATGTCCCAATGGTGGCCATAACTTTGGGAAATCTGACCTTAATTTGAAATTATTAATAATATCATATTGGTCGTAGGAGAAAAAACAATGGTTTAATATATTTCATAGAAATATGCTGTTTAAATGTAATTGTATAAATTATTCAATGAAACCATTTTTAACCAACTTCAAAAAGGAGGAGGTTGTCATTTATATTGGTATTTTTTTTAAGGATTTATTGCATTTTTTTGAGCGCTGATTCCTATTGTTACAAATGCTTTGCAATATTCAAGCACATGATACACACTTTTGGACAAAGAGTTTCATTTAACAATGTGTTTTGCCATAGTAAATAGGAAGTTATTAACTGTATAAATGTGAATTTCATTGCTCAAGAAAGTCCTTGTCATGAAACAATTCATTTCAGATTGTTTTATAAATAACAATATTACCTATACTAAAAAACTGCCCAAAGATAATTAAATGAAATTTCTGAAAAAAAAAAAACAGATGACTTAAATAATGGCATTGTTCCAAATACTCATTTTAAAACATATGTTAGAGTCCTCTGTCCTCACAATTTTAGATGATCATTTTTTTTACAAATAGCACCAATGATGCACTGTGTTACTGTAGCAAAGCACATTTTTATATAGTTTGTGGTGGCATAAGTTTAACTTATGAATTGTATAATGTGTATAAAAGTAATCCATTATTGTATAAAAGTAATCCATTATTGCAAAATAGTCTTAAAAATATACAATACTTACTGCTAATTGTATTCAAAAGTACTGAAATGATGATGCACATGTTGAAGTTGATGATACACTGACATTCTTAACAAGCCTAATAATACAACTCTACTCTAGCTTCAGTATACTACTAATGTATAGATATCTTATCTACACAGTGTGGCATCAATCTGTTGCAGTGACGGTAAAGTGAGCTTCAATTTCCTCCTGTAGGCTGGATCAGATGCAAGAGGATTCCGTTCTAAATATATTGTTGCTAATTTCTTGTTCTGTTGCAAGTACTCCACAGATGTCCAGTCACTTATTTGATTATCATTGAGCTGAAAAAAATTATATCATGTTTGATAATTTATACTGTTGGTATGTCTAATAAATAAATATATAAATTATGTCCATTGTTTGCCACTTAATGAAAGTCTAAAATTATGTCAGTAAGGTTATAGTATGATGAGATAAAATGAGTTCTTACAAGGATTTTTTAACAATATTTCTATAGAACTCACAACATTACTTTTTTGAATATACAAACTAAGAATATGACATATTAATTAACACTTTGCCCAGTAGTGAAAATTTTTCCATAATTAATTATACACAGTAGTGTGTATGTTTTTTATTGATTTAATGTAATTTTTATGCATAGTTTAAAAAATATAAGCATTCTGCACTCCTTCTCTGTATAAACTATAAGTGTGGAAAATTTCATACTCCTCCATCCTCCATATACTTTTTACTCCACATATTAAGATAGACATATATAAACAATATATACAATATATAGACATATATAAACATACATATAAATAATATATAAACACAAATTAAACAATTATTAATATTTAACCAACTTTATCATAAAATGACATACCCATAACTCCTCCAAATCACTCATGTGCTGTATATTTTCTATAACTTTGATCCTGTTCATAGCCAAGTCTAGAGTCTCAACCTTAACTTGGTTACATAAGTTCTCCATCACACTAATACCATTCTCCGACATGTACAGCTGTTCTAGTTCTGTCAAGTTCTCAAGGTTTTCAATCTTAGTGATTCTATTACTCTGTAGAACTAATATCTCTAGGTTGGTAAGGTCTTCTAGATTTTGTATTTTATTAATTTTATTTTTACCCAAGTACAGTTGCTTTAGCGTTTTTAAACCATCAAGATTTTTTATTTCCTAAAAAAAATCAAGTGGAAAATTAGTTTTTTCACATTCACATACATCGCATCTTTAGAATTATATTGTGCTATTAAAAAAATATACATTTTTGGGAAACAAAATAAAGATGTGTGCATTTTGAACAAAATGCTGTGATTGGAAGAGTGAAAGAGACTGAAGTATTTATTTGTAGCTTCCAAAAATAAGGCTTGTTATAATAATGGTTGAAAAAGGTTGTCATAGAGTCAAAATCATGATTTTCTTAATTAGGTCCCTTTAATATGAAATATTTTGGAGAAATAATGAATTATAAATTTATTAATATAACAAAGTACACATACCCGAATTCGATTATCACCTAATTCAAGTAGTTCCAGCTTTGGCAGATGGTTAATATTTTTTATTTCATTTATTTTGTTTGAACTCAAGAATAACTTTTTTAGGTTAAGCACTTTCTCTAAGCCTGTTATTTCTTTGATCCTATTAAAGGATAGATCCAAAATTCTGCAATATGAAAAGTATTATTTTATCCTAGTTTCAATAACCACGAAGTTTTTTGTGTGTAGGTGGTTTTTGTGATGAGTCACAAATCTGTAAAGCAGGTTCTGCTGATTGCTACACCATAAAACAGGTTCTTCTGTGTGGCTACCGCCTTCTTTACTTTTTTTTCCTTGAAATATTTTTAGAACAAGCATTCTATAATTACATAGCTTCCAATCAGCCTACCACAGTAATAGCCTAAAACAAATTTGAAGATAAATGTAAATATTACTTACTCCAAATTAACAAGTTTGTCTAAATTCTCTATGACTACAATTTGATTGTCATACAACTCAAGTTCTACTAAAGTAGATAATGTGTCTAAACCTTCAATTTTCTTTATTAAATTCCATCTTAAATACAACCTGAAAGAAGACCATTATATCACAGATACAAAACATAAGCACACCATTAAGTTTGAACTATTTTGTATTAAGTTATTTGAAGTATATGGAAATTAAATTTAAATGATGCATTTTTAAAATAAGACTTCCAAAACTCATAATTTTTTTTTAAACACATTTGCAACCAAAAATAATACCTTTCCAAATTCTTCAAGGGTTCTAGGTTTTCAATCTTCCCAATCCTTCCGTGATTAAGATCGAGTTCTTCGGTGTATTCATTCACGATGATAATTTCCTGAGTGTCGACTTCTGCCGCCGGTGTGCTTGGTGGTGGAGGTGAGCTCTCACCAATGGAACACCTTTGAAGTGCCTGACTCTCCGAAAGTTCATTCGGAATTTTATCAGATTCATTATTTGCCATTGGTGTATCTTGATTGTCTAATCATAGTTTTAGAACATACATTAAAAATAAGAATAACCCCAAATGTTTGTTAATATAAAGAGTCTATACATACCTGTCATTGTTAATGGTATATTTCACTGAATTCTATTCCACATTTAACCTGAAAAATGTTTAATAACTATAAAACACAATCACGTCTCAACAAAATGCAATGCAAAAACGTAATATTTTAGTTGGTTGGGTGAAATGGAAGATTGACATTAGAATAGAACCAAATTACCTACCGTTAAGGTACGTATTACGTATTACGCATAGATGTAATATGTATTGGTCGTTAAAAGTAATTGCAAGACTTCGAAACTCGAATCAATGAAATGTTTAAATAATAGTCGTAACATATTGATTATAAACGGGCTATAGAGCCGCCCCGGATTTGCTTTATTTTGCGGATTTTGGTTTTAATATATTATACATATAAACCTTCCATTTCAATCACGCTATCAATATAGTAGAAAAAAAACGCATAAAAACGCAAAAACGCAGATCCGTTGCGTAGTTTTAAAGATCTAAGTATACATAGGGACAGACAGACAGCGGGACGACTTTGTTTTATACTATGTAGTGATATAAAATAGTAGTAGTAATATTTTTATGAATCATCAGTGTGGAATGTGGATGAAAGGAACCTCCTCAGTGACGTACTTAAAGAGTCCGTACCAACGTCCGGCGCACCCTGGGGCACAGTCAACCAGTTCCCACATCTTGTATCCTGTATTAAATGATTTTTGCTTTTAGTCCCGAGACTATTAAAGCTTCATCTGACGCAGAACCGGTGGGCTAGCCAGAACCCACGGGCTTGGGCCCTCCGCTGTGGGTAGGGCCGCGCTTGTGCTCCTGCGTGCGTTTAACTATGGTATGCCATCTAAGGGGCATCGAGGTTGCGGTTCGGACGGGCGGTGAGAACCGCTCTGGAACGCGGGTGTACCTTGTGTACGCGTTGTGTTGGTCTCGCCGTGCTCGGAGGCGAGGGCGAACTATTTCGTTTGTTGTTACACTAGCTGTGGGTGTAGTGTTATTCGGCGAGACCACCGCCGGTGGGTCCGACGTATCTAAGTCCCCTTCCTCGACCGGGTCGATGAGGACGTTTCGCGGGCGACGCTTGTTGACGTTCGCGTTTGTGTCGGGTTGGTAATTTCCTACGCTTACCACCAGAGGGTTGGGATGATGTTCGGCTCTATCGAAGAACCGTTTTGGTCAGGCCTTTAAAATATTCGTGAATCATCGGGAAATCGCTGTGCAGATCGACGTTGCGTTGATACCACTGCGCACCGGTTGCACGGCGGATGAACTTATTTTGTACTATTTGCAGCCTGTACAAGCGAGTACGGCGCGTGTGGGCGAAGGTCATGCATGCGTAGGACATAATAGGTCGTACGCAGGTTTTACATAATAATAATAATTTGTGCCTTAAGGGCATTTTACTTTTAGCGTTAGTTAAATTGTGTAGCCGGCCGGAGACGAACGCGGCTCGATTACGAACGTTATTAATGTGCATAGTAAATGACATACGCGAGTCAAAAGTGACTAAGTATTTGACTTTTTTCTCCCAGGGGCTACCCTGGTTGGCCATAAAGGGATGTTGTCCTGGCAGGCCCCAACTTTCTGCATTGGCGAGGGCCATTATAAAGATTTGACGGGTAAGTACTTCGTGTGAAGTGAATCGCCACACTCTTTTCGGGATTTACTTCTATTCTCCATTTTTGGAACCAATCTCCGAGGCGGTCGGCGGCGCTCTGGAGACGAGTAGTGAGTTGACTGAAATTTTTATCTGCGTAAAAGAGCGCCGTGTCATCCGCGAAAAGCGCGAGATTGACGTGGGGGTCTTTGGGTATGTCGCTCGTGTAGAGCGTAAAGAGTAAGGGTGAGAGGCAGGAGCCTTATGGAACGCCTGCTGTGAGGCGGCGGCTTGTGGAGAAGGTGCCCTCGATCCGATATCGAAAACATCGGTCTGGCACTTTGAGTGTGTACAGCTTGTAAAGCAAGCCGTTGTGCCAGATCTTGTCGAATGCCTTTGCGACATCGAAGAAAAGAGCCCCCGTGCTAATATATTTTCGAAAATTTAAGCCTTTCAGGATGTGTGCCGTTAGGCGGTATAATTGGTCGGGACAGGAATGTATAGCTCGAAAGCCGAATTGTTCCGCCGGCAGAAGGCCGTTGGAAAATATGCGCTCTTTGAGCCTATTTAATAATAGCCGCTCGTAGAGCTTCCCCAGGCAACTGTGGAGGCTGATGGGACGATAACTTGAGGGCTTCTTTCCAGTCGTCCCGAAAGGAGCAACTGAAGAGTAAAGTGTTTGTTGAAATTAATATGTTACAAAACCATAATAAAAAGTTGCCACCAAAAGTGTATCCTAGGCCATATTTTAATAATTTTCTCTTTTATTTTCTATATATTTATTTGAATAAAAGACTAGTTGTTTTTCTGACTTTGTTTAAATTTAAATTAGATTAATTCACTTTTTGCTCATATTATAAATAAGAAAAAAACATTTTTTTACATTTACTTGTAGTATGTAGTTTCAAATAGGTGACCATGGTACGCAGCAGCCTCGGCTGTTGCACGAATGGGCAGGCTCGTCCGGGTAAGTACCACGACCTCACAGAAGACCGGCGGAAAGTGGAAGTATCACAAATACTTTTGCGTTTTGTCTGGTGAATGAGGTAGCCGGAGCCCAATTTCCAAAAGGTTGTCAACGCATCTGCAAACCCTCGAGTGTAGCAGATGTTCATGGGCGGCGGTATTCACTTAACATCAGGTGATCCGTCTGCTCGTTTGGCAACTTTTCACATAAAAAGGGCATAAAATGATTTTCTTTCGAGTTTCCAAAGCTTGTAAGGTTAAAAGTTGTTACAATAACTGTATGGTGACAAAATCTTTATCATTAGTATCCCAAATTTTATAAAACCCAATCGATTGAAAATCATAATCAAAATCGAAATCGATAATAAATTCAAAAATTAATAATCTTGACGTCAACCTTGCAATCTATATATATATTGTTTTTGTTTTGACTCCGCCAGAATTTAAATTATAATTTGTAAGTAGACGACGTAAAATGTTTCCAATGTTTAAGTAAAGTGTTATTGTGTCTTAAATAACTTTCAGCAGTTCAGAAATATTATGGAGCAAGAGAGCCGAGTACATAGAGAAAAGGTGGAGAAATTTGATATAAAGATCAAATCAAAACCAAAAGATGGAGTAATTTTACAGCTGCATCACACAGTTCGTGATTCGCATGGAGAGTGTAAAAGAATTCGTTTTTCTACGGCCGTTTTTGATGACTCTCAGGAGAAACTTGCATGTGCTGATAATGCCGGAAATTTATTTATCCTTGATTTTTGCGACTTGAAATTTTGGAAATTAGTTAATCGTGGAATATGTACTGCCATGCATTTTGTTCCAAACAAAGTGGACAATTTAGTTATTGCTACTGCGCAAAAATTTTATCTCAATTTTCTAGATACAGACACTGGAGGAACAATCCTCACTTTAAGTGGGCACACAAATCATGTAAAACACATTTCATTTTCTAAAAATAAGATGAACAATTTACTAACAGCAAGCAGTGCTGAAGCAATTTTATGGGAACTAAAAAATTACACCAAGTATTTCACACTGAGTACATATTTAGGCTCCCAAATTCAACAAATAATGTTTACACCTGCCGGTGACTACCTTGTAGCATGCTTTCAAAATGATACTGTACAAATATGGCGACATGACACCATGAAATCAGTTAAACAGATTATACCTAGCGGATTAAAACACTTGAAAAATATAGCATTTACAATGAATGGCCGAGCATTGGCAATGGCAGGTCTGGTACCTAAATTGATTTTGTTTAGCATGGACACCTGGAAAGCTATAAAATCTATTGATTTGACCAAATATAATATAACAGGGGTCCAACAAGTTGCTTTTATTCCGGAAATGTTTGATGGTGGAGCCAATAAAATACTAGCAATTCTAAGCAGTGATTGTGTTCTTTATTTGCTTGATCTAGAAGTTCTTAAAATTATCCACTGTGTTCGCCCAGAGTCTTCAAGTATTAAAAAATTTTTAGTAAGTCCTACAGGGAAGTACTTCCTCTGCATTTTGCAGCTTGGGGAAGTGAATATATACAATACCTCATTGGTACTTGACATGTCTAAGGCAACAGTTGAAGGTTCAGAAAGGAAAGTTCTACCTAGTACTTCTACACACACTTACAGATGTACACCTTTTCTAAATACCCCAAATAAATTGGAAATTGAACAGAAGATGCGTACCTGCATGGACAGTGCTAGATTGAGAAGAATTCTAATGCAATATGGTGAATATCCAGACAAGTTTCGTTCCATAATATGGAAGTCGCTTTTGCATACACCAAGAAATAAAGTGGCTTATTCATGTTTAGTGGATAAAGGAATCCATCCAGCTTATAAAAATATCGAAAAGCAGTTCACTATTCATAGCTCAATAACACTTAAAAATTTGAAGAGACTACTCTCATGTCTTGCACATTGGTGTCCGTTGTTTGGGGTTATGAAGTTCTTACCAGGCTTTGTGTTCCCTTTTGTCAAAGTGTTACAAAAAGATCCCCTACTTTTATTTGAATGTGTTGCCACAGTATTAATGAACCAGTGCCAACTGTGGTTTGAATATGCTCCATTTCCACCAATAAGTGTACTAGCTATGGCTGAGAATATATTGGCTGAGCATGATCATCAACTCCTTGACCATTTCTGCCAGATTGGCGTGACCAGTCAAACATATGCACTAAAAATATTAGAAACTGCTTTTAGTGAGGTTTTAACATGTTCTGAATGGTTGATCTTGTGGGATCACATACTCAGTAATGAACCTTGTTTTATCCTAATGGCTGTAGTTTCCTATAATATTGGCCAAAAAAATGCAATCAGAAGGTTGAAGAGTCATGAACAGGTTGAGAATTTCTTTCGATTGCAAAATCCTATTGACAAGAAGGCATTGCTTAAGAAAGCTTATTTATTACTTAATGAAACAAGTGAAGATGTCCACCCACGCAGGTATTTTAATAATTTTGTCTCATTAGAGAAAGGCAGTTGTTACCAACAATTTACTGGTTATCCCAAAGCTACAATATGCCTTAAATTAGCAAAGAAAGAAAAGAAAAAATCTGTCAGTAATAACAGACACACTCTGAGAGAACTCACAACAAAAAGTCAAGAGAAAATAATAAATGAACAATACAACAGTGAATCAGATTGTGACGACGATGTTAAAAAATATTATGTTAGAGATAAATACTTTAAGAAACACAGACGGAAATCTAACATTTGCGAACAGGATAAAGGAGACTGTAGAAATTTTGTGAAAGAGGAATTGATCAACAGCATCTTATTTCCACCCGAATTGCGGTTGAGGCATAGCAGGGGAACGGGCACATCTAAGTACAGCAGACGGCAAAAAGAATCCCCACAGACGAAACTGAAAAAGGATCATGTTCACACGCTGGAGAACGAAGTAGAGAAATTAATGAGAAGCTCTACGAATTCTGATGTGTCCGACTGAAATTGATTGATGATTCGTTTAAATGATAATGGTTTATGATTTTTTTGTCTACGTCAATCTTATGAATAACTATTTGTACATATTAAAAATTAAAAAAAAAAACACCTTTGATATATAACACAAATTAATATTTATTTCGGGTTTTAAAGTTTTGTTACGCGATGTGTTAATTGTAGGTAAATTACGTTCACTGTACTGCCGACTTGTCTATTCCTTTTTAGAGGATGGCCTTGGTATAGTGGATTTGACGTGGCTGAACTTCTTCCTGGAGTTGCTGAGGTTCGGACTGGGCTCAAGGTTCACCTTTGGAACGCGGACGGGCGTTGCAATTTTCGGTTTGAATAAAGCTAGAAAAAATGGCAAATTTAGGACAACATAATTATAATAGCAACATATTTGTACATTATAACGTTCTGTCAATCTCTCCGTTAGAATTATGAAGCTTTTACTGATCTAGTGCTCTGCTTACTAATTACGGCCAACCAACTCGCTACATATCATTAAGCCCGATTTACACTGGTCAAATTTTTAGTGATAGCTCAGTGTTCGGGCGCTCGCATTTAATTTAATATACTCGAGCAACCTGAGTCCGATCCCCGGAGTCTGAACCTATAAAATTGTTAATCTTAAGTGCACTTGACTCGTCACTTGCCATAGTGTAAACAGTCATCTTAGAACAGTGGTAACACAACGCGTACACTAGGTACACCCGCGTTCCAGGGCGGATCGCACTGCCCCAGCCACCGACTAACCAAGCATAGTCAACGGCCATCGGAGTCACGGTCCGCACCGAATCATAATTAACGCACGTATGAGTACATGCGCGGCCCTACCCACTGAGGAGGGCCTCAAACCCGTGGGTTCTGCTAGCCCACCGGTTCTACGTTCGATGAAGCTTTAATTGTCTAAGGACTGAAAGCGTAATCTCAATTATACAAAAAAAAAAAACAAAAAGTACAGGGCCGGCAATAGGCAACAAAAGTGTGGCATGTGTTTTTTTGACGTTGCCTCTCCATTTCGACAGAGAAACGCAACTGGACTTGCAGTAGTATCTTGTATCTTGTATTAACTGATGTTTTTGCTTTCAGTCCCGAGACTATTAAAGCTTCATCGGACGCAGAACCGGTGGGCTAGCCAGAACCCACGGGTTTGGACCCTGCGCTATGGGTAGGGTCGCGCATGTGCTCATGCGTGCGTTTAACTACTATGGTGTGTCATCTAAGGGCCGCCGAGGTCGCCGGTTCGGACCGAGACCCCGACTGTGCATTTAGCTAATCGGTGGCTGGGAGCGGTGAGAACCGCCCCGGAACGCGGGTGTACCTTGTGTACGCGTTGTGTGGGTCTCGCCGTGCTCGGAGGCGAGGGCGAACTGGTGTGATTGTTGTTACACTAACTGTGGGTGTAGTGTTATCCGGCGGGACCCCCGGCGGTGGGTCCATGGCTTGCAGTAGTGTAACTGTTAAACAGCCGTCACTGGCCACTATACTGCCAATGCCAATGTAAATCCGCCTTAAGACGGGATGGAGTTAAGCACTGGCCAATTACTTATAAATATATGTATAAGCAAAAACATCCTTGAGCGATTTTATTAAGTCAAACTATAACTTAGTGCGAAAAAAATTTCAATTGTTTGCGAAAAAAATTTCAATTGTAAGCCGCATGTCACAAAATTTGACTTCTTTTATTTAGTTTATACTCGTATTCTAACCTACTTCAACCTATGTAGTGGTTTCAGTTTTACAAAGTGCCCATTGTTTTTCTAGATACTTCAATGCCTTGTGTGCTTGAACTTTCTGATGTTGAGTAAAAGAAAAGTAGAAAAGTCGGTGTACGGAAAGAAGAGAAACTTGCCACATCTCATGTTTTAGAACTGATTTTATCTACAGTTATGATATTTCAGTTAGGTATGAGATGGGACAGTTTCTTATATAGTAAACGTACAGATATATAATAAACTCACTGTTTAATTTGCTACTTTTGTTCTCATGCGCCGTCGCTTTATCTACCTTATAAACGCTGGGGCTCTCTTTTTTAAATTTGAAAATGTTTGGCGAGATTCGTCGAAGCTTAGACGACACCTTCCCCTCTTTCGATCCTTGCTTATTGGCCAGGTTCGAAGTGGAGGCACTCTCTGTACGCTTAAGTCTAGATCTGGAATAGTCATCAGTGCCGCTTCCCAATGCCGATAGGTTTGGACTCGAGGCGAACTGTGCTTTTGATGATTCGGCACCCTGTAATATAGTTTATATAGCTATTGGAGGTGTAAATCTGAAAATGTTTGATTTTAAACGGATTAAAGTTTGCTAAGTTAACTGATTATCTATCTATTGTGGTTCCAAATTTAAATCATACACAGCGGCGTAAAGAGGAATCAAATTATCACAATGTTGGTCATGCATTCTTTAGTTATAATTTGTTTTTTGTCGTCATCGATTGGATTACTAATGGAACACAACTCGTCGATGTGTTACCAAACAAATCGGCGAACCATGTCTTAACTTAGTCTTGTCAATTAAATCAGGAATATCAAAATTTGAAATGCACTCTAAAGTCCCCCTCTAATAATCAACCGAGATATTTTACCTTCGTGAATGTAAATTAGTTATAACATACACAACGCACCTTCAAAACTGATATCTTGGACACATCCAAAACTAATGAAGACATGGAAGAATCGTGTTTTCTATCATCGTTATACTCTCTTACTATAATTGCAAGTTTGTTTCGTAGATCCTCGGCTGCTTTCTCAGCAGCTAATAGACTCTCCAATATTTTATTTTCGGATCCTTGAATTGGGCTGAAATCAATATAGATACGAGCAGAAACAAAACACAGAAGTAAAACTATTAACTCGCAAGTGCTGGGCTCAAAGAGTGATAGCACGGTATTCAGCTTTCGCTTTAAAATTAATATACTCGAACAACCTGAGTTGAAATCCCAGTACCGGCACCAATGAAATTGTTCATTGCAATTTTAGGGTAACTCATCACCTATTCAATCGTACCGAAAAAAACACCGTAAGGGAACCGTCATAGCATTGAATTAATCAGCTGTGGTAGGACCACGCAACAGTCCTTGCTGTTGCTCGAATGGGCAGGTCCGTCCGGGGGGCAAAATGTTTGTATGCTGGAAAGGATGTAACAATAGATGCGCCAAGCATTGCTTCAAATGCTAAATAACAATGTAGAAGGAAGGCGTTAAGATTTTCGTAAATGTGGCTATCAGCCAGACGTGGGTTCGATTCCACAGCGGCGACAATCTTTTCGTACTTTTTCTACATGTTTTAATAATAATAATACAAAGATGTATGTAGTCTACCAATACGCGGTGGGGTGACATGGTGGATTTTGCCGCTTATACCCTATGTACAGAGCAGACCTTTGCCCAGCATAGAGACGTGTTAAACTTTAGAGCTTCTGCAAGGATAAACTTACTCTTTAGCACTAAGCCATTTTTTATTTACGTAAGAGGCGCGGTGAAAAACTTCGCGGAATGACAAGGAAAGGAAAATGAAATTAGGTCCACATTTATTTTTCCCTTTTACTATCTTTTTCGCTTTTCAAGCAATGTTTGAGGCATCTATACCGTTTAACAATGATAATTCGAACGAGAAATATCACCATTGCTACATGAAATTAAAATTTTTATAGTGCTAGTATCTGTTATTCTCAGCAGTAATAATCTTTATTGGTCATACGAGTATAATAACTTACCTTGAGGTCTTATTGCGACGTCTTATGCTGTCTGGAGTCGACGACAGCGTGTACGTACTCTGCCTCTGGCACATAAGCTGCAAAATTAGTTATTTCCGAAAAAAAAAAAATGTTGAATGTGTTATCTAAACTAGGAACTCTTTTCAAACAATGTAATATAAAGTCAAATATTAATTTTGAAGAATATTAGTATGTTTTCAATTATATATTAATTCATTTATATTTGCGTAAGGTAATGGAGTGGTTGTTTTTTTTTATAAAATGGCATGTGTTATCGTCGAAATTTTTATAAACTAATTTGGAACAACAGGATAAAAAACTTCAGTTTTAAATAAAATGTTCTAATTTAACTAATTGATGTTTAAAATAAAGCACTATGTAACTAATAATATATGTATGAGGTATTATATTTTATAGTAAATATTTCTCACTTTTTTATTATCTGTGCTCATTTACATCCATCGATTTGTCATTGGCGAGATGTTTCTGCAGCGGTCCAGGTGCTGGCAGATTCTGATCGGTTGTCTCTTTAGCCGTTGTCAGAGTGTCAAGGGAACGATATCTAGTTGGTGTTCCGGGCGGCAATTGGAATAGGCTGAAGAATATAATACTAGCTATAAATAATTCCTAGAATAATTATTTTCTTTTAATCTTTAAACAATTATAATAAATTAAAATTTTTCGAGGGAATAGTAAGGTTCATCAAATACTTTTAACGAACCTTCCCTACCTAACCTATGAATGCCTACTGGCAATACAAATTTTTGTACATTATGAGAACTATAAAATATTATATGTTTGGTTTAATTATGTGATACGAGATTGATAAGATTTTACGTTCTTGTTATAATAATAAACTAATTTCTAAACTGGAGGGTCTTACCGTTTTTCCGGTGTTTTCAACTCTAACATGCTTGCTGATTTGTTCGCGAGCGATTCGCGTTCCTTAGGCTTCTCTAAGTCGGACTCGTTGTTCTCTTTTATGCAACGCACTATTTCCAGGAGCTCCTTCGTCAAGCGTTCGCGGTAAGCCTTCGGTAGATAGCCGAGGAGCGCACTGCCACTCTCCTAAACATAAAAAAAGTCATTTTTTATCCCTGCTGCCGCATACAGTTTACGCAAAACGTTCCTTATTAAATACGTAAATCCAGAACGTCGATTGCTTCGAATATTATATGTCACATTACTAAGAAAAATGTTGATTGATGTCGTGTGTAACGACTATGCTTTATTGTAACATAAATTAATTGTGCTTCTAACACGCGGGTTTCGTACAGATTGTCACTAACCTGTGTTAATTTAATTGGCTAACCTTGTCAAAGTGTTTCCCGCCGGTAATTCCGGAGACCTGCCAAAATCCGCTGTTCTGTTGCTGGCTGGTCGCCGGACAGGAGCAAGAGACGTTATGGCTTTCCATCACCACATGAAGGCCCGAGGCCTGAAAATAAAGTAAAAGTATCAAGCGCCCCATTAATTCTTGATTTAACGCTGTCGGGGCACGGCGTATTATACATCATGATATATCAACACCATTGCCCGCAATTATCTGCAATTAGTTCGTAAGATAAATTGCGTTTGAAACTCACATATTTCTTGTACTTTACACATTACGAACTAAAGATCATAAAACACTCGATTCGTTATCTTCCTGGATAGATACAGCTTACGACTCGGTGGCGCCGCTAAGCGCTTGGCTTCAGCGTGGGGGGTCATGGGTTCGAGTCCTACACGGGACAAGTATTTTTGTGGCCCACAGGTAATCGTTCCGGATTTGGGTGTTTGTTTCCTAAGGAGAAGAAACCGCTTACAACATGATTCACACACACAGTTAACTATGTCTAACCTGGCAGTTGATAACCACGGTTCTGACACCTCCTTCTTGACTTGCATTGGTGTCGCTCGTGTCTAGTGATTTGACGGAGAACCCCAGGCATTGGAGTAAAGCGCAAAGCTCCACCACATCCGTATACGGGTCCTGAATTTTTTTGTTCATAAATATTTGGTTTTGATTAAAAGTTAGGTACACTATAACTACCTATTAATACAATAAGTAATTAGTAACTGAGCTGTCTGCGAAATTACAGTTCGAGGGGAATTATTTTATATCTAATTAATAACTTTTCCGCTTAAAGGATTTTTAACTGTGGTCACGTGTCACAAAAGTGTTCTCCGTTGCACGAACGTGGGCAGACTCGTCCACGTCCTTAGTACCAGGAAATCACAGAAGACCGGCGTGAAGTAGAAAGTTAACTTTATTAAACGGTGGCAACGCACTGCAACCCTATGGGTTTTGCAAATGTCCATGGGCGGTGGTTATCACTTAACATCAGGTGAACCGCCAGTTCATTTACAATTTTCTCACATCAAAAGGAAGTCATCCTAGTGACGTGACTGGTTTGGAAAACATAAAAACATACTCAGAGACAGTACAGAAAGGATAGTCAGAGTCGGAATAATTATTTGAGGATATCAGATGGCCGCTTCTGCTGATGCACCAATGCGCAGGCTCGTCCGGTTAACTATATTATACTTTTGCGTTTCTTTTGGTGAGTGAGTTATCCAGGGCACACCTTTTTGAACTTTGGCAGCGTACTTGCAACCCCTCAGATTTTAGGACTCATTTTTAAAGTTAGTAAAGAGACTAGCACTCTTGATGAAACTTTAAATTGAAGATTTTTGTAGATAAATGAACAAAAACTTTGTGCACTGCGGGATTCAAACCTGCGTCTTCTGGTTTCGCACCCAGACGCTTTACAAACTAATTTAAGCGGCCACATATTAGTACACGATAATATATTAAATTATAAGACTGTTAAACTTACTGTATACGTAGGATCTTTAACTTACCATTGGGGGAACTATTTCCTCCTTCGACACCTTTATTCATGTAAAACAAACAGTATATTTAAAACACGAATTCTTTGTAAACAAACAATATGTTTAATATTTTGTGATATGTTAAAGAAATATGTATAAAACAAACCATTTCCGACATTATGATTACTTTTTAACCTATGAAATGTCACTTGCCCAAACACAAACGATAATGCTCTCATCTATTTAACGATCACAAAAACTTAACACTCCTTTTTTATTTTTTTGATCACATTCAAAATAAATAATAACGTGGATTTACTTTACTTCGCTATAATTTGGTATAATAACGTAGACGTTATGTTTTGATTGTGCACAAAACGTTTATATGCAATATTTTATTTAAATACCCTCAAATAGTGAAGGAATAAACCCTATCTGTTTTATTTGAAATGTTCAAAATTAAAAGGTACTAATTTGACATTATTGTTATACTGCATACCTATATCATAATTACCGAAGAACTTAATTTAAGTAATTAAGTCCATAATAAAAATAATGGCAATAAAACTGTTAATTCAATGACTCTTTAGTAATTTTAACACAAACATGTTTATAGGGTGGGAGCTGAACTCTGTATGCTACGCTAATATTTTTTTTATTTAAAATTAAACATCAACATTCCAAACATTGAATTGTAGATCATACACGTAGTAGGAACCATTATCCTTCATTGTATTCGTATCCGCGTCCCGCAGTGCGAAACCTACTATTACAACTTGCATTTGCTACAACGAATCATGTATTCCTTTAGGCTTCTAACTTTTTCCGTATTAATCTTTAAATCCTTATATTATATATACCAGCGCTCTTCGCAGTGGTATAACCCAAAAGAATAAGAATGCCGAATATCTAAACCGCATTTATTAGGAAGCTACTGAATCACTCCGTCTATTGATGAAAACCCTATACAATCCGTTCAGTACATTTTGCGTTTATGGTGTTCAGACAGACGGATGCAAAGGAGTGACTTTTTTATAAGAACCATCTCGATCAGGTCAACTTTTAAACAAAAAAAAACCGCACCATAATCAGTCTATTTGTATAGATGCTACGATGCCATAGACAGACTTGTCAAACTTAAAACACCCCTCTTTTACGTCGGGGGGTTAAAACATTAAACACGAAAGGATATGGAAAAGAAAATCACATATTACAAAAAAAAGTATATTTAAGGTTTTATTATTAAATACATCCGCTTTAATACACTATCGGTCGACATCACTCGAATAATTACGTTGACAACAATTATAACCTCAAAATTCCCGCCAAAACGCTATCAGTACGGGAGTGAATTCCGCGGGCGATTAATTGTAGGTCATGTAACGCGGAGTGGCTGAGAACTTCGCGTACGACTTGATGACCTTGTTGACCGCCTCCAGGAAGTCCTTTTCGGTGGCGACCTTGCGGCGGGCGCGGATCGCGAACATGCCCGCCTCGGTACAAACCGATCTGCGTTGAAATTACCGTTTAGTTATTAATAAATATAAGTGCGAATGGACAGGCGAAATAATAAATCCGCGATTTTCCCACCCCTTAGAGTAGTTATTTGCACATAATAGAAAATGAGTACATGTTATTTATTTATCAAGACGAATAATGTAGGTACAACTTGATGTCACTGGTCTAATATAATAACTTAATCTATTGTTGGATTTTAATTTTTTATATTATTTTACAACCGCATTCAAATCTTTAGAACTACATTAATGTATAAACTTATTGTACATTACATTACAGTATTAAAATATTAGTTGGGCAAAATTTGAGCGACAGACTGTTTCAAGTTACTACAAAGCTTGAATGTCGCATTGAGAGCAAATGAAACAGGGATCAAATACATAGAATATGACATTCCGACTTGCATTACATATGGGGCATTACTTTGAAACAACTACACTGATTTGGGGCTTAGTCATAATCGAGATAAAAAGACTGCCGTTCAACCAGCTTTAAATTCGTTCACAAGCCGAGTCTTCATAAAAAGTTGTTCAGAGTTAGTGCACTTGAAAGAATTGCCAAACTTTTAAAGAATGTACCCCGATTATCACACTCACCAGACTAAATGCGGAAGTATAATAATACACCAACACCCACAGCCTTCCGTGAGGCTTTACCACTTCCCCGGAATAGCCTGCCCATTCGTGAAACACTGTCTACCACAATTTCTCGATGTTGACCCCTCCTTCCCCAAACTGTATCACAAGCCGGTCACTCCTGCTGGGTTCTTTTATGCAAGTAGGTTGCAAGCGAGCTCGCGGTTCACCGGATGTTAAGCGATAACCGCCACCCATGGACATTTACAACACTCGTAGCGTTGTAAGAGGAGTTCTCAAGGAGGGTTGACGTCACGCAGGAGGCCAGTCGTACAAAACATAGATACACATGTTGTTCCGACCCCACCTAGGTGGGATAAGGGCGGGAGGATGATGATAGGGTTGCCGACGCGTCGCCACCTTTCACGAAAGCGGGGCGCTTACCGTCAACTTCGAAACAAGAGAAAAAAGAAGCATCCCGGTGGGCGTCATGACCTGATCTCGGCGCCGGTGGAGTTGGGGCAGAGGCGGGCGAGCAGGTCGAAGCGTATGTCCCTCTCGACGCTCATGGAGCGCGCGTGGATGCGGAAAATGTGGGCGCGCCCCTCCAGGTCGGGCAGGCCGAACTCCACCTTGCGGTCGAGGCGGCCGGGCCGCATCAGCGCCGGGTCCAGGGTGTCCGGCCGGTTGGTGGCCATCAGCACCTGGGGTGGATTGGGGATCATCACTCATATTGATATTAAGTTCCACGGATTTTTAGCTCTCCGTACCTAAAGGGTAAAACGGGACGGTATAAGACTCCGATGTTAATCTGTCTGTCTGTCCGACAGTCACCAGGCTGTATCTCATGAACCGTGATAGTTGGGGAGTTGAAATTTTCACAGATGGTGTATTTCTGTTGACGCTATAATAACAAATATTAAAAAAAAAAGAATAAAAAAAATTTTAGTGGCTATACAACAGACATGATTTTTTTTAGATAATTGTATGGGACCCATTTGCGCGCGAGTCCGACTCGCACTTGGCCGGTTTTTGTATTTAAGTTTAATAGAAGGAAGATTTTAATCGTTAAAGTCTTCCAGCTGATGCATTTCCTTCTGTTAAATGATCAATTAGAACTCAGTTCAGCAGTAACAGCCATTGTGCCATATAACCAAATAAAGACAGTTTTCCTATGGATCAGAAGAAGTGTAGTGAGAAACCATTTTTATATCTACAAGGATATATTTAATCATAGTTGTTTGCCCACCTTGATGTTGCCACGAGGGTCGAACCCATCGAGCTGATTGATCAACTCCAACATTGTACGCTGCACCTCATTGTCACCGCCGGCGCCATCATCGAATCTAACATTATCGTAATTTCATTTAAAAAAACAAATTTTAATGGTAAATAAAAAAATATGAAAAAAATACCTAATATTTTTTTTCAAATAAATGTCCTTTCTCATGCTCTACACTATCTGTGTACCAAATGTCATTTAAATCGGTTCAGTAGTTTTGGAGTGAAAGCGAGACAGACAGATATTACAGATTACTTTCGCATTTATAATATTAGCATGGATTACCTGGCACCGCCGATAGCGTCGATCTCGTCGAAGAATATGAGACAGGCCTTCTTGCTGCGCGCCATCTCGAATAGTTCGCGTACCATGCGTGCTCCCTCACCAACGTACTTCTGCACCAGCTCCGAGCCTTGCAGAATGAAATAGATTGTTTTATATTACCCTCCACTCACTGTAAGATCTTTTAAAAACTTCACCACTAGAAATATTTTAAAATCTTTAGCTTATAAATGGTATAGTTTAATCGTAAAATCACTTGAGAAATGACCAGAATTCGTAATTCACCTGGACATTTCTCCAGTTTTAAACTATTATGTTTATGAATCTATTGTCTGAAATAACGTTATTATCATTACTTGTGAAATTACTAATAGTGTACTGCAACGTGTAGCTTTGCCGCTGGACTCAAAGCGACAATGTTGTTCATCACAGAAACAGTTGCTATTGGAGAGTTGTATCAGAAATCCGCCAAAACTTATAGGCGGTTTTCTTTCTTTGCTCTCCATTTGCAAAAGCAAAAGTTACTAACCAATGACTCTAATAAAGCATGCATCCGTCCGGTTGGCAACTGCCCTAGCACATAGGGTTTTGCCAGTACCAGGTGGGCCAAATAACAACACACCCTTTGGAGGTTCTATTCCCAGCTTTACAAATTTCTCTGGCTGTAAGTAGAAAATAAAAAATTATTATTTCAAAGCTGTTAAAGAATGCTTATAACTTGCATATTTTGAACTTCTTAAGATATGTACAGTCAAATAAACGCTTAATAAGTTACATTAACACCTGATGATAGTGCTGAACATTTAAACTTAACTAAAGTGTTGCGAAAAGGTAGGGTCAAAACTGAACCCAGAAAAAACAAGATTAATGACAAATGGTGAGAGAACCACTAGAAATTTAGGAAACACCCAAATTGATTATACAGATGAATATATCTACTTAGGACTGGTAATAACACATGATAATCCGATGCTCAAAGAAGTTGAAAGAAGAATAACCAATGGCTGGAGGAGGTACTGGGGTTTGAAAGAGATCATGAAAGATAAAAACCTTAATATGAACACAAAAAGCAAATTATTTAACACCTGCATTTTACCAGTCCTCATGTACGGCAGCCAAAACGTGGACCTTATCATAAAACATAACTAGCAAACTTGCAACCTGCCAATGCAATGGAAAAGAGCATGTTGAATGTAATAAGTCAGATTGACTGAGTAACCAACCATGTAATAAGAAACAAAACAAAGATTATAGAAATAACGTGTAGAAGGCTTAAATGGCCTATGGGCAGGGCATATGATAAGAGGAAATGGAGCAAAATTGTGACACAATGATATCCTAGAGAAGGTAAGGAAAAGAGGGCGACCCGAAAAAAGGTGGGTTGACGACATAAGACAACTGGCAGGCGTAACATGAAATAGGGTGGCTCAAGAAAGATATGAGTGGAAAAGATTGGAGGAGGCCTGTGCCGACTGAAAAACAGATCTACAAAAAATAAGCAAAATTCAAATAAAAGACTATTATTATTATTATACAGTGTTGCATGTTTACAAATGGTTCATTGTCAACATGTAACAGACAAATAAATTGTAAATTTTCTAATAAATTAAATTACTTACATGTAACAATGGTGTTTCAACAACTTCCCTTAGTTTCTCAATTTGTTCTTTGCAGCCACCAACATCGCTATATGTAACATCTGGTTTCTCCTCAACTTGCATCATAGTGACGGTAGGATCAATCTTTGGGGGTAGTGGAATGTGAATCTGATATTTGTTGCGGTCAACTCTAAAAATCAATAAATTTGGTAAGATAATTTTAAGTGAAGTGAAGTTATTCAAAGACATTACCAGAAATTGAGAAATAGAATTTGAGAAGTCAATCTCAATTGATACATATATATAAGGAAGATAACTATATCCTCCTCTATTTAAATAATTTTCAGTTTTGTTATGCACAGAAGAAGATAACCTGGCACAATATAGATATAGTGAGGGTCCTATTATCATTGTTAAGACCAAGTAAAATAGATGCCTAACAGCATTTGAAATCCGCACTGAAATGAATAAATCTTGTACACAAACTGTATCATTAACTACAGTAAAAAGACGATTCCGCGACACTCAGTTGTTTGTTTATGTTGTCGTTCAAAAACTGCTGCTCAAGCCACCAAAGGCCCTTACCCTTCAAGATTGATCTGAGATTCTGAAATTTGATATATTTGGTTGAAGAAAATTATGTTCCACATAGTGCCAAAGAAAACATTATTCTAGATTGTTTGGTGCCAAGTATCAAGCATAGTGGTGGTTTGATTACACCATAATTACTTAGGTTACTTTTCAGGCCATGGCAAATATATTGGTGCAAACTGAAGGAATATTGGAAAAGGTGTATTACACAACGATTTAGGAGCAAAGTGCTAGACCTTCCAATTTAAAATTACATGAGAATGGATCCATTTTCAAACAAGACAACAACCTGAAGCATAGTTCTAAATTTAAAGTTTAAAGGAAAAGAAAAAAAGAAAAAGTTATTAAAAATAAAAATACACAAATGCTGTGTTCAAAACCACAATAGAGCAAATTCACTACACCCGAACACACCTGAAGGGTGTGACACTACAACACCTGAAGGGTTCCAGATATATAACCAAAACAGATATAATGCAAAAGTAGATTACTACTTCACAGTGGTAGGGCCACACAGCAGCTTCGGCTGTTGCACGAATGGGCAGCCTCGTCCAGGTAAGTACCACAACTTCACAGAAGACTGGCGTAAAGTGGAAGTATAATACTTTAGCGTTTCGTCTGGTGAGTGAGGTGGCCGGAGCCCAAGTTTCAAAAAGTTGTCAACGCATCTGGAACCCTCGAGTGTAGCAGATGTCAATGGGCGGCGGTATTCACTAAACATCAGGTGAACTGTCTGCTCGCTTGGTAATTTTTCACATACAAACAAAAAAAACTTCTGCTTCACACGGGTTTGTGCGACTGTTGTGTTTCCCGGGATGAGCATTCCCATCCATGCAACAGCAGAAGCAGTTACATTTATTCATTCAGGTTTAATCAATGAAACATTGCTAGAATAATATTGAAACTGGAGTTTATAAGGAAATAAATGAGAGGTTGAAATACAAGAAATATTTTAATTGCAAAACTATAATGTTGGTCTCATATCTTTTGATTTTTAAAATAATCATTAAGAATATTTAGAATGTTGTTCAAGTTAATAACTCAGTGCAAAGTATCTTAGTGCACCAAGGGAAAGAAGCATGAACAAAATGTTATAGGGAATTTGTTTGAGTTGTATTTAAACTTAAAAACAATACTCTTTCTTAATTCCCAACTTAGTTGTAAGAAGAATAAAAAAAAACACTAAATCAATCAGAAAAACTCACCCAAATCAGACATGAAAACAAGTGTAAAAATAAGTATAACCAATAAAAAGTGAAAGAAATTAGTTAATTCCCAAATAGTGTTTTTATTGGTCCATTATTAGAAAAATAATATATGAATATACTCACCCAACTCTCATTCCCTCTTCAATATCAGTTGGTGCTACAGAATCAGCTAGGTCCACCACAAACTTGGCAAACTGTTTTACATTTATTATATATTTGGGATCATTAGAATCTGCATTGATTATCTTAGTACATCTGGCAACCTTGAGAAAAGACACATTATCACATTATTTTTTAATAACAATGTTTACTACAAAGATAAAATTGTAAAGGCTAAGAATGGTTTGAAAATATTAAAACTCTGCAAATAAATGGGGATTCTTTGTAACTATACTGTGCAAAGGATAGAACTTCTCTCCATTCCTGTTTATTGTTTATTAATATACAACTAAGTTATGAACTATAAATAAGTTTACTAGTTTTTAAGATACACAAGGGAGTTGTCAGAACAAATGTGCCCCTAATATAAAAATTACCTTTTTAACAGCTTCATTGTGAAATATTGCTTATCTTGACAACTATACTACTAACATGTCTTTAAACATAACATATCCTAATAGTTATAAAACATATAACTTAATAGCAATTTAATAGAATGCATTTCTTAATATGGCTTCCATATTTCATATTCCAAAAGTACCTGTAATGGCTGTTCATTTTGTAAGGTTTGTTTATCGGCAGCCAAATCCCACAATGCTGGAGGAGCCAATCCCGTATCTGATTCTTTGATACCAGTGAGTTCATTGACTCTCTTCATTACTGTCTGTATGCCTTCTTCTACTTCTTTTATTATCTTGGTATATTGACCTTGGCCCTGAAAATTATTAAAAATTGTGTTATAGTTATAATACCAAACCCGAGAATAGTTATTTTCATTTATTGTATGATAGAAAGTAAATAAATGACTTCCTATACAATATACAGTTAAAGAAAATGCCAGTCATTGTCCTAAAAATTAAAGGGTCCATATATAAAATTTTATGCTTACATATGATTTCAATAGTGCAATATCTCCTTCATCAAGAGCTAAAAGAAAATAATTAAAATTAAAAATGTTATTATAAAATTTATCATGGGTTAGAAACATGAAAGCAAATTTAAAGACAAACATTTTATTTCTTTTTCCGGTTCTTCTTTGTCATCTTTCACTTTTCTCATGTCATCACCTAAATGGTCAGGCATTTTGTTATATATTTTTATTAATTAGTTCACAACAAAATATTAACATTAACTGCTGCTGAAATCAAAATGTCCTTTATCATCACAGAATTCACAGACAACCACAGACTACTAAGATGATATGCAGACAACATAGTTTTATTCTATATCTCACTCCTTGGTCACAGACATTGAATATGAATTCGATACGTTTTACGCTTTACATTTATTCGGACAGATAAAAATTAAAATAAATGTGCCGGCTGAGACACATATGTATGTAAATAAAGTATAAAGGAAGACATTGTTTTATTGATATTATTTTATTTAATATTGAAACAATTTCATATACTTAATATTTAGTATTACTTCTTCAAGTAATAAAAATATCTTGATAAGGGTATATTTTAAATCATATTTCAGTAGTAATATGCTCACATTTGAATTTTTGATGATTCACATAAATGAGCATGATGATATATAAAAAGAAATTGAATTGTGAAACTCCTATCTTTTATTAAAATTTGTAATTCAATTTATGAAAGGTTGAGACTTTGACAATTATTACGGAAGAACAATGAATTTTTAAAATAAAAAATATGACAGTGATGACAGACAAAACTGAGCCGAATAATATTTGATTTGGTTGCGTTCAGAGATAAGTTATAATTCTTAGGATTAATGATATTATTATTTCTTCAATTTTATAACTACGATCGCATTCGGTCGATATATAAAATTTACAAATTAAATTCAACTAATTTTTTTTGCGCAATGTGAATGTTACTTCTGAACGCATTTACAAACTTCTCTTAGAATGCCACCTATGGGTTACTTTCAGTACTAAAATTTTGTATTCGTAGTGTTGAATGGAGAATCACATTTTCGTGTTTTTAATGAATAATTGCTTTTAAATTCCTGAATATTCACAATTAGGTGAGACTAGAATTTAATCGTTTTTGCTTTAGCCACTGTGGTAAGTGTTAAGATATAAATATGAATTATGTCCCTCATCATGACCCAGAATGTAAGTAATGTCAAAGCCCGGTTTTACTTGCGATTTGGATTGCATTGCGTGCATTTCTGGTAAAAGCACTAGCTGGTAATTAATTAAATGTAATATTACTTAAGGCACGAACACTTTCTGATATTTTCGTTTGTATGTATACATAAAGGATCACGATTACAACGAGGTTTCGCCCGGTCTTCATTACATTTCTTGCGAGAATGTCTGAAAGAATGCTTGGAATTATCTTAGTGTTATCTGATTTGTTATCATTTCATCTCAAATATCTTATATTTTTAAGATGATTTGGAAAGTACTGATTGCCTATTGAAAATAATTATGTTTTGTATTTTCAGAAAGGTTGGTACTAAAAACCCTTTGTTAAATTTTTGAAACTCATCCTTTGATATTTCGCGGTATTTTCAAGGTTTAGATGTCAATGTAACCAATATATTTGTGTTACATCATTTTCAAGGTTTATTTGTTAATAGAGATGTGATTCAATATTAAGTCGATGAACATGTTATTATAACCTTATAAATTTGATAAAGTGTTAAAGATCCTCTAGTAGTCATCACAGTAGCTAATAAGGTATGTCCTATTAATTTAAATGAAAATAAATGATCGACAGTGCTATGAATTTTGGTGTTATTTATAAAAAGACGATTATTGTCATTTGCTTAGTAATATTTTTATTAAATTAATAGACCCTAATTTCCAATTAGATTTTATAATTTTTAATATCTATAAACAATCAATGAAATGTTTATTTTACTTTTTATTTTAAGATCAATATATTAATTTTTAAATGTACCATATCTATAAAAATCCTATATATTGTAAGTATGTATGTTTATTTTTTGTAAATAAAATACCAAAATTGCCCTAACCGAGCCAACTATCAAATGTTTGTCAAATATCTGATCCAATTCAAATTCTGTACTAACATATGTTGTGTACAAGCTTCAAGTGGGTGAAATCTATAAATAACCATACTGTCTGTCCATTCTAGTGTGCACTCTACTGAGATTATTAGCTTTATATTAGCAATATAACCTCTTTCATAATTATATTACAACTGCATAACATTGTAAATGTTGTGTGGAAGCTTTAGTACTGCCTTATTTTGCAGTTAGGTGATGACTTGTATTCTGTGACAGTGAAGATGTCAACCTTTTCAAGTTCAATGCATCAATTTGGTTGTCCATTGTTGTGTTGTGATTGTTGTGATGTATATTTTTAAAAATATCTTTAGTAAGGTATGTCTACACTTTATATAATGGTTGTCAATTAGGGGCACTGTTTGTGTTTTATGCAACTTCCTTGACATTCTTTTCTTTGGTGACAGAACCTTTTTTTTGTTTGAGAAAAGTTTTAAATATTTTTTAACAGCAAATTCTTTTTTATGGTGATGCTTATATCCCAGATTTATTTATGTCTTATTTAAATGTTAAAAATTTAGTATTATGACTGGATTTAGTTATAGCTGTATCATCCCAATCTTTAGACCACTTAAGCAGCCATTGCCTCTGAAAGTTTTGTATATAGCACTTAGCTATAATTTTTTATTACTTATTATAGTCTGATGGTGTTTTAATTAATTTTACTTAGGCATTTTATCTTATACATTAACATATTCCTAAAATTAACTACGACATCAAATAAATCCACGTAAGCTTTTTACAATAAAATTGATATGATATTAAGGATAGTTTTATTTGACAATGGTGAAATTGAATTATTATTAATTTTTATTATTATGTACTTTGTTGTACACCATAAATAATTTCATATTGTTGATATAAAATAAATCATAAAATCGTCTTATTGCGAGAGCAATCTCTTCCTGACAACCTTAGGTCAAGGAAAATTATACTTATGAGTAGTGGTAGGTGGTGTGCTTAATAAAATTACTTGATAATAACAAAAACTATATATGAATAATTTTATTAGAAGCTTAATCCATTGGTAGTGCTAATTTGTTTTTGCATCATATGTTTAGATGAACTTTGTAATGAAACATTTTCACACTGATAACCTTTGATATAAAAGTTAAGAAACATTTTAGTTCATCTCATGATCAGTAGTACTAGTAGTGTATGTACACATATTGTGTAATATACAGCGTGTCGTTACCATCGCGACAATAAATGAACACGCATATAGGGGATAACTTTTTAAAGTTGTATTAAACATTTAAATTCTTTAAACATCAATATTTACAGAGTTATAAAATTTTCCAAAACAAAGAATTTTAGAACACCCTTACTTATAAAAGCGTAACGTAAAGTTCATTTGTAAAGGTCACAAAGCATATGAATGGGTTGAATGAATTTAAAAGAGACAAAACATACTGTTAGAAGGAGAGGCTTGTAATGCGATGCAGTGACGCGAGTTGTATAGGATGTTACAAATTTTGTTTCTTTTTTACTTAATTAGTTTGTTTGAAAAATATTTTTTTTTAATTATGCATTTTGTTTAACGTTAATATTTTTTTATGATTATTGGCAAGTAGCGTTAGACGTGTGTTCATTTATTGTGGCGATGGTAACGACACGCTGTATAGTCCTATATAGTTCTAATTTATAGCACCACTTCTATCTCTCAATTACTTTCTGTTAGGCTGGTAGAAAATTCAATAACTATGGTATTAAGCCCACCATTTGTACCAGCTTGTACAAAAAAGTGTTAAATAAATAAATTTTATGAAATAAACTTAGGTAAAAGTATGCTTATGTTACTACAATCCTACTGGATATAATAGGCTAATGTTATACATAATTTTAAACTGGTGTTTTTTTCCATTTTTTAAACGAATTTTTATGATTTATTCATATGAATTTTACAGGTCTTATTTTGTATAGATTCATAGATTCTTAATCTGAATATGTATATATTGAAAAGAAATTTTTATATGTATAACTTTGTTTTATATCCATTATGATATCTTTGAATAATGCAAATTTAGGGTTCAATGAATTCAGATGTTTGTATTGCGGTCCCTATGTATCATATAAATCTATATTAATTCTTTATTTAAGTATGGACTGTTATTTTAATGGTTTGGTGTACCATTGATTACTTTATCAGTCATTTTCAATGTTAATTTCAATAAAAATTAGTTTTTGAAATTTGCTAATCTTTTTTATCTTCTTTAAAATTTGAGTTTGGTAAAATAATAGTTCATAGATTATGAACTCTTATGAGCGTGAAAGAAAACTGATAGAACTCTGTCCAATGCCACTTAACATTAGGTGGACCGCCTGTTCACTTGCCAACTTTTTATATTTAAAAAAAAATCTTAAAAATAAGGTGTTATGCTCCGCAGTGTTGCTGGCGAGTTGGCGAGATGCACACAGCCAGCACTGAAGGACAGTACCGCGGTACCAATGGGTCTACTCATGGCAAGGACAAAGTCGCCATATTGGATGCCGGGTCACAGTATGGAAAGGTTAGTGGAGAACGCGATTTACATTTTAGAATTGGCACTATGATGATGTTATGTTTTGGAGGGAATTTTTATAGCTTCGTCGGATGATACCATATAACTAATGCAAAAGTGGTCTGTCATTGTTGCTCTTAAAAGAACATCAAGGAGTCTATTGACCATAGTTTAGGATCCTTATTATTAAATTAAATATTCCCTTAGTAAAATCAGTAAAGTGAGTAAAATTTTTTACTTAGAAATCATTGAATATAAATGATTTTCATATGTGCTTCAGTCCGTTTAACATGACCTCCTTTCAACAACCACTGATCTTAAGCAGGAAGTCAGTATTTTTTTAATATTGTTTCTTCTAAGAAATGAAACACTAGGTACTATGGAAATAAAAATAATGTATTAATATCCATTCTCAGAATTAACTGTTGATTAAAAAGTCCCAGTTTATAATTGAGTTGTTTGTGCTGTTAGCTATTTGTAACAGGAGCCTTACTGCTTGCTATAAGTTTTTAATGTGTAAGCAGCAATAATTTTGTCAATATTTTATTGTGATAAGGCAGGCAACACAGCAGTTTCTGTTGTGCAAATGGTTAATAATAAAGATCTAAACAATGATTGTTACCTACGTAGCCCTTCCTTTACACAGTTGTTAATTAAAAATTGTTTCCTGTTGCTGTTAACAGTGAGCTGATAATGAGAAATATTTGTATAATTGAATGTTTCTTCCTATTGTTTCAAATGTTAATTTTATAAATATAGTTATTTGATAAGAATATGTATGCATGTGTGTTGCTTAGAATTAGTACTTTAATTAAATACATTGTATACTTTAGTCGCGCGTTGTGTCGTTACCATACTCTTTAACGACCTGATTGGCTTATAGTGTACATGTGTTGTTGTACTTGTAAGCTGTGCATGAGGGTGTGGATTCGATCCCCACTTCTGGAAAAATATTGTGATGAACATAGGGTTTTTCCAGTGTTCGGAGTGTGTATTTATTAAATGATGGCAATGTATCTGCAACTCTACGGGTGTTGCAAATGTCCATGGGCAGCGGTTATCATCGTTTGCCACTTTCTCACATAAAAAAAAAGATTCGCCGACGGCAAAAATTTCAACGACTCCTAATACTAATGATAAATTGCAAATAAAGAAGCAAATCTGCATATTAAATCTAGCCTTGAAATTATTTAAACAACAGGATTTATTTATTTTAAAGTTTTTTATAGTGCTAATCTCTGCACTCAAGATTGAACATTAAAACATGTAGAAAAAGTACGAAAAGATTGTCGCCGCTGCGGGAATCGAACCCACGTCTTCGGCATTCGCGGCCTGACGCTGATAGCCACAGCGACATTTGAAGCAATGTCATTTGCTTCAAATGTCGCTGTGGCGCTTTTCGTACTTTTTCTACATGTCTTAACAGGATTTATTGATGGCTACGCAAAAACGATGAGGTAATGTGCTTTTAAATCTGCCAGTAATTACAATCTATTCTCAAACTAAGCATAGCTTTTATTAAGAATACTATACTAGATACCTGATAAACGTCTTCAAACATACTGTACATATACAGACCTAGACAATAGAAAAAGACTATGTTCCTCACATTATATATTTCGAGTAGTGGGAATCGAACTCATGCCCTTTGGCGAAAGAAACAGGTTCTCCATCCACCACGCAAATGGGTCAATCATTTTTTTTTGTATTTCTTACGTGGAATAATTTACATGGGGTCACCTTTAGAACAGAATAAACAAGATACGTATATAGCATAAAACATCTGTCGCAATGCCGTTTGGGTCGAAATACGCGGAAGTTAGCAAATGTAAATAGTTTTACTGAGATGTAAACTTCAGAACACTTTGTTCGTGACAATAAGGCATGACAGAGCAAAGTGGCGTCTGTCTTTGGAGGAATAGATACGCCTGTGTCTTACAGAATACTGAGAGTAAATATGTACTATTTATGCTTTGGTGTATCGTCAGGTGAGGTCTGCTCTTTTGAAGGTTGAAAACCCATCGCACACCCTCAGTTGTTGATGTCTGTCAATGGTGGTTCTTTTTACCACCTATTGACATATAAACGCTCGGTGATTCGTTAATGGCAACAGTTTGTCACTGTCTCGTTCCCCGGTACGGTTTAAAAGCGTGAAGGTATATTCTAATTTAAATTATTTTTATTTCCTAAAATACATGTAGGCAATAGTAAAGTTCATATTTCGCCGCATTAGCTTGTAAATCCGCAAAATAAATTATCACGTCGTATAGAAAAAAATTGCCATGATTAATTTATTTAGTTTTATTAAGAATTAATCAAGAGCCGTGATAGCTCAGTGTCCGGACGCTCGCTTTTAATTCAATATACTCGAGCAACCTGAGTTCGATCCCCGGTGCCGGCACCAGTTTTTAACTTTAAGTGCTGACTTATCACGTGCTCCGCGGTGAAGGAAAACAATCAAAAAAATATATTTCTAAGATATGTGAAGTCCGCCAATCCGCAGTGAGGCCGCGTGGTGGACTATGCCCTGATACCCTCTGTATAGAGGAGGCCTTTGCCCAGCAGTGGAACATGTATAGGCTGTTACTTTACTATTAAAAATTAAATTATAAAAAAAAATATTATATAAGCGAACACAAAAGTTGTCCCAAGATGAAATATGTATTTATATTTATTTACCAATATGCGTGTGTAGGTGATAGACCGCAGGATACGTGAGCTCTGCGTCGAATCCGACATACTGCCGCTGGACACGCCCGCTTACCACCTGAAGGAGGCTGGGTACAGGGCGATCATTATCTCGGGCGGTCCGAACTCCGTGTACGCAGAGGACGCGCCTAGATACGACGCAGATATCTTCAAGATTGGACTACCTGTGTTGGGTAAGACACACACGCACACACGGACACACGTACGCACGTACGCACGCACGTACGCACGCACGCACGCACACTTAGATAGGGCCGGCACGACATGTGAATAATGTTGTAAGTGATTTTGGCTATGTTTTTTTTTATACGACCGGCCGCCTGCCTGACGTGAAACCTCCTTGGAAACAATCGGCCAGAACCGGAACAATTATCGGTGGGTCACACAAATACTTGCCACGTGTGGGAATCAAACTCACACCCCCGGCAAAAAAGCCAAAAGCTTAGCAAATTGCGCTAGTTCTTCTTTACTTGTTTTTTTTTTTAATGTGAAAAGTTGCCAAACGAGCAGACGGTTCAACTGATGTTAAGTGAATACCGCCGCCCATAGACATATGCTACACCCCAGGGTTTGCAGATGCGTTGACAACCTATGTCTCGCATTCACGCCAAAACTACTGAACCGATTTAAATGAAATTTGGTATATAGATAGTCTAGAGCCTGAGGAAGGCCATGGGCAATTTAATTGGAAAAAGGGTTGTAGAGGGTTCTTAAAGGGGAAATATATTTATTTAAGGGCTTCAACGCGAGTGAAGCCTCGGGCGAAAAGCTAGTTCGTAATAAATTTCTTTGATCGTTCATCAGGTATATGCTACGGTATGCAGATGTTGAACAAGGAGTTTGGTGGCTCCGTATTGATGAAGGAGGCCCGTGAAGATGGCCAATACGAGGTGGAGCTGGAAACCACGTGCCCGCTGTTCAAGTGAGACCTTTTTCTTATGTGATAAAGTGGCAAACGAGCTGATGGTTCACCTGGTGTTAAACGATGACCGCCGCCCATGGACGTTTGCAACACCCGTGGGGTTGCAAATGCGGTGCCACCTTTAAGAAAGTGGGACCCGGCTACCTCACTCGCCAGGCGAAACGCAGAATTGTGTAACACTTCCACTTTACGCCGGTCTTCTGTGAGGTCGTGGTGCTTACCCGGACGGACCTGCCCATTCGTGCAACAGTGAACACTGTTGCGTGGTCTTACCACAGTTAATGAAGACCTTCCATTTCTCTTGTATGCATCATCATCATCCTTCTGCCCTTACCCCACCTACGTGGGGTCGGCACAACGTGTGAATCATGCTGTAAGCAGTTTTGGCTAGGTTTTTTACCACCGTCCCCCTACCTGACGTCAAACCTCCTTGGGAAACATCACCCAGCTCCGGAACAATTAACTGTGGTTTAAACCAATACTTGTTCCGTGTGGGAATCGAACCCACGACCAGGCATCGAAGCCAATAGCTTTGCAACCGCGCCACCGAGTGATCCATTTCTCTTATATACATTCGGTGAATACCTTAAAACATAAAAGATATACAAACTCGTAATGTCTTTATATAATATGATGTAACTAATCACTGTGTATAAATTTTTGTATTGCTTTTATAGCTCTACTCACTTAAGGGGAAACATTGAAATTCGAACAAAAATGGACGACCCAGACGCTTTAAGCACAGAGCTAAACGGCTGGTAGCCATGCTGACGAAAATCTCAACCTATTTTACCTACTTTGATTATTCGCAATTTACTTACAGCATACAAATAATTTGAAATAATGTTTTACAGCGATAATTCCAACCTAATGATGTCGCCTCTGGTTTTGATATTAAAATTTTTATTTTACCTTTTTATAATGTTAAGTCTCACATAATAATTATGAAACATTATTCGCCGTAAAGCTTTTCGGAATCGCGCCCAGACGGTTTTATTCACGCTAATTGTACGAAAACATTAGCCGTACTTCCATTTTAAGAAAGAAATTTAAAAAAAAAACTTAAAAATTATTACTCAAGTAGCATTCATTAAAAAAAAAAAAAAAAGACAACATTTACATAGCAATATGACAGATTTAAACTGAAGATAAACGTAAACGCGAGCCACGGGGTGACGTGTATCTTTCTAATCCGAATGCATTCGTCCCATTGTATTGTGATTGCGGTGTTGGATGGTTCTTTAACAACCGGCAACTTGTCGCAGCCGCCTGGAGAAGCTGCAGCCGGTGCTGCTGACGCACGGCGACAGCGTGCAGAAGGTCGGCGAGAGGTTCCGGGTGGCGGCGCACTCGTCCAACCACCTCATCGCCGCCATTTACAACGAGCAGATGCGCCTCTACGGGGTGCAGTTCCACCCTGAGGTGATTGCTTAATATGATCTATGCAGATAAATAAAATTGGATTGGCAATTGCCTGTTTGTAATATTAAAATAACCTATTTTGTACTAAATGCATGATATACACAGCACATATACCAAAATAACACTTTACAAGTTTCTGTCTGTGTGTCTGTTTGTTCCGGCTAATCTCTTAAATGGCTGGACAGATTTTGACGGGACTTTCACTGGCAGATAGCTGATCTAATATGGAGTAACTTAGGCTACTTTTATTTTAGATTTTTTTTATATCCACGGGTACAAAGTCTCGGACACAGCTAGTTAATAAATAATATTGTAGGACATTTTTTACCCAACATTTTCTAGTGCCAAACATAGCAACGCTTGTACTATGGGTAGTAGATAACTGATAAACATACTTTTCTTTAGTAAATGTTACATGTTAAATACATATAAACATCCAGACACTGGAAACAACTTTCATCACACAATATTTTTCCATTAGTGGGGATCGAACCCACACCCTCTGGTGCAAGAGGCAGGACCCACTACCCACTACGCCAATCGTGTCGTCACAGCTTTAAACTTCACACAACCATTTTTTTTAATGTGAAACTTTGTCAAGGATAACGCCGCCCATGAACATCTACAAATCCTAATGGCTTCTTTAATGCGTTGACAAGCTAAACTTTTGCCAAATGGCTACGGTGCTTCGTTAGGTTGCAGTGATTGTTCTGACTTCTACCCAAGTCCATCAACAAAAAATACAAATACAAATATACCACCTAACTTTCGCAGGTGGAACTGACGCCCAAGGGCAAACAGATGCTGTCCAATTTCCTGTTCGACATCGCCGGTTTGGCGCGCACCTTCACCCTGCGCTCCCGGCGCGAGGCCTGCGTGCAGTACATACGGGACACCGTCGGCGACAACAAAGTGCTGGTGAGAGCTACCACCAGTCTCCGTCCCTCTCGATGCGTGCAGGATAGAGAGAGACGGCTAATTAAACTGCCACTGTGGAGCGATGTCTTCATCCCGCTCGATCCGTGCACGGTAGACGGAGACGGCTAGTAGAACTGTCAATGAGAGGCGATATCTTCATCTCGCTCATATCGCTTTTCGATCCTTGCAGCATAGAAAGAGATGGCTATATAATTGTCACTGAGAGGCGTGATTTTCATCTCGCTCATATCGCTTCTAGCTCCCTGCAGGATAGAAGGAGACTGCTATTAGAATATATCACAGTGATAGGTGAAATTTTCATCTCATATCGCTTATGCCGGCAAATCACCCATTGTCACCGTCCCGCTCATACCGTAAAATGTAAAAGGGGACAGCGAGCTGACCGACTTAAACCAGCAGCCAAAGAGGAAACACATTGGTCTCTATACCTTTAGTAAAAGCAAACTAACCTATTTACAATGTCCTTTCTTGGATTTCAACAACACAGTGTTTCACAAAATTACGCTACCACTATTTAGTATAGCAACTTACTGGGTGACCCAGTCTGTTTTTAACCCATATTATTAAGGATACAGATATAGATATTTGTAACCTTAATGGAATCTGTTTGGTTTAAATTGAATCTTGTTTGAAAGACTGCAGAAGTGAATGCTGTTTCGTTAAATTTGAACATCCCTTCTCCATTAATTTATTAGTTATTAGTTAGGTCTTGTGTCTTCATTTTTTTCTTCTCTACTTTAGGTACTTTTGAGTGGTGGCGTGGATTCCACAGTTTGCGCCGCCTTATTGAGTACTGCGTTACGTGAGGACCAAGTGATTGCACTCCACATTGATAATGGTGAATGAGAAGTTTTAAACAAATAACTAATAATAATATAACTAGGAGACAAATCTTCCCATGAAAATAACTAACTACCAGTTGCAATTTTTCATGACTTAAATATTAGTAATTATTTCACCCAGATTTTTAAATTGTTGTTTATCATAAGATAATTCTAGCAGAGATAGAGACAACAATGTGAACAAAACAATCAATCTCAATTATTTGGATACAAAAATTAAACCTAATAAATATTTTACCACAAACAAGAAAATAGTATTTACAACAAAATTGCGACCTAAACGAATCTTGTAATTGAATACATTTATACTGATGTTGAAAATTCTTTGACAGGCTTCATGAGAAAGAACGAGAGTGCAAAAGTAGAGAGATCTCTACGGGAACTAGGTGTTCGTTTGCACGTCGTTAACGCAACTCATCAGGTAAAATAAACCTGCTTTTTAATTTAATTTTTAACTCTTTATTTTATTATATTTATTTAATAAAATAAAGAGTAAATATTTTAATTCACTTTTTCACACACAAGAATTTCACCGATAGATATGAATATCCATGAAAATTATTTATTTAAATACTGGTAATTTAGAAGTAAAGTTCGCTGCAGAGCTATAATATCGGTAATGACGTCGAAACAAACTACTAAAATATGCACCATTAGATTGCAGAGTTCACTTGACCAAAGCGAGTGGGTGGACCGCACAATATAGAGTACCCTAAGTAAATTTTTAATTTGTAATAAATGCACCTACCTAAACTTTTCTAGTCCAACCTAAGGTTGTCTGGGATATAATGCTGATGGCATTAAGTCATGTGATCAGTCCAGAATGAATAAATAAAATAATAATTAATTTTTCTGCCCCTTCCAGTTCCGGCAGGGCAGCACGACGATCCGCGAGGCGGGTGGGCGCAGCCGCCACACGCCGCTGCTGTGCCACGCCACGTCGCCCGAGGACAAGCGCAAGATCATCGGCGACGTGTTCATCCGCGTGGCCGAGCAGGCGGTGCGCGACCTGGATCTGCAGTGCGTGCACCCATACCTCTCTCGCGGACCTACCCTCCCTTTCTTACGGACGTTCGTTGACTTTGGATGGAGGTACTATCTTCGCGCGACGTGTTCATCCGCGTGGCCGAGCAGGCGGTGCGCGACCTGGACCTGCAGTGCGTGCACCCATACCTCTCTCGCGGACCTACCCTCCCTTTCTTACGGACGTTGTTTGACTTTGGATGGAGGCACTATCTTCGCGCGACGTGTTCATCCGCGTGGCCGAGCAGGTGGTGCGCGACCTGGACCTGCAGTGCGTGCACCCATACCTCTCTCGCGGACCTACCCTCCCTTTCTTACGGACGTTCGTTGACTTTGGATGGAGGCACTATCTTCGCGCGACGTGTTCATCCGCGTGGCCGAGCAGGCGGTGCGCGACCTGGACATGCAGTGCGTGGACCCATACCTCTCTCGCGGACCTACCCTCCCTTTCTTACGGACGTTGTTTGACTTTGGATGGAGGCACTATCTTCGCGCGACGTGTTCATCCGCGTGGCCGAGCAGGTGGTGCGCGACCTGGACCTGCAGTGCGTGCACCCATACCTCTCTCGCGGACCTACCCTCCCTTTCTTACGGACGTTCGTTGACTTTGGATGGAGGCACTATCTTCGCGCGACGTGTCCATCCGCGTGGCCGAGCAGGCGGTGCGCGACCTGGACCTGCAGTGCGTGCACCCATACCTCTCTCGCGGACCTACCCTCCCTTTCTTACGGACGTTCGTTGACTTTGGATGGAGGCACTATCTTCGCGCGACGTGTTCATCCGCGTGGCCGAGCAGGCGGTGCGCGACCTGCAAATGGTTCCTTTCCTCTTCCTTCTTTTTTACATTCACATCTCACATGCATGTTTACGTCTCAGGGAGGACCAGGTGCTGTTGGGGCAGGGCACGCTGCGGCCGGACCTGATCGAGTCCGCGTCCGCCCTGTGCTCGGGGAACGCTGCCACAATCAAGACGCACCACAACGACACCGAGCTGGTGCGGGTGCTGCGCCAGAGGGGCCGCGTCGTGGAGCCCCTTCGCGACTTCCACAAGGATGAGGTGCCAACACCGTCTCTCTTCAAACACGCCCTTCTTACTAGTGACACAAGACCGCAATAGGTCTTCCATGTCGCAGTGGTTGTGCCTTACAACACACCCTTAGTGAAACGAGACCACAGTAGATCTTCTAGGTCGCAGTGTTTGTTAGACTTACTACCCAACTCCATCCCAATAAATCAATTAAATCACAGTAGTGATACAACCGTAGCAAAATTAAAGGAATTCTTGCCGCTTGAAGTGTTTATGGAGAGAGCAAAAACGAAATTACGGGCTACACATTGAATAGCATAAATAATGAAATATAATAAACTAGTGAACCGCCCCGGTTTCGCACGGGTGCAAACCTTCCTCTTGAATCACACCTAGTTAAAAAAACCGCATCAACTTCCATTGCGTAGTTTTAAAGATCTAAGCATATATATATATATATATATATATATATATATATATATATAGAGAGAGAGAGACAGGGAGCAGGACGATTCTGTTTAATACTATGTAGAGATTATATTTCATTATTCTTTAATTTAATGTGATAGGGCCAAGTAATAGCCTTCGCTGTTGCATGAGTGGGCAGGTCCGTCCGAGAAAGTATCACAACCTTACAGAATACAAGTGTAAATTAGAAGTGTTACACTTAAAGTGCTTCGTCTGGTGAGTAAGGTAGCCAGGGCCCACTTTATTAACAGGATGTGTTGCCCATCCGCAACCCTACGGGTATTGCAAACGTCCATAGTGGCGGTATCACTTAACACCAGGTGTACTTCCGACATAAAAAAAAATCTTTCTATCCTGGCACTATCTTCTCCAGTACTAAATGTGTTATAGTGGTGTAGTTTTGGGTAGTGAATGCACAAGCTCAATCTCAGAGATGGTAGATTACTGGACCAGAGTACTCTGGTACTCGGACCTCTTCTCATTTCGTGTTCGCTTTAGGTGAGGGCGCTTGGTGCGGAGTTGGGCCTACCGAGCGCTCTGGTGGAGCGGCACCCCTTCCCCGGGCCGGGGCTGGCGGTCCGCGTTCTCTGCCAGGAGGAGCCCTACGCAGAGAGGGACTTCGCCGAGACCCAGGTAGATGTTAAATCTTATGTTTTCATGCTAAAATTTAATTTTCATTTGTTAGATTTGTTTTTTTTTTTTAATTTTATGATTGATGTATTTATTAATGTCAAGTAATGCAAACTTGCGTTATAATTTATTTTAGTTTATTATTTTTTTATTTTATATCCCTTGTATTATCGGTACTAGATAACTGATAAACATACTGAAACATATTTTTATTTTGTAAATAAACATTTATTATAATATGTAAAGAAACAGACTCTGGAAAAACACTATTCATCACACAATATTTTTCCAGGGATCGAACCCACACCCTCTGGTGCAGGAGGTAGGCACACTGCCCACTGAGCCATTCAAATTGGGTTGTCAAATGAATCGAATGAATGAACGAATGATTTTGACCTTTTGCCCGCCCCGGTCAGGTGATCGTGAAGATAATGGTGGAGTACGCGTCGATGTGCGTCAAGTCGCACGCGCTGCTGGGCCGCGTGGCGAACGCGAGCACGCCGGCCGAGCAGGCGGAGCTGAAGCGCATCTCGTCCAAGTCGCCGGTCGCCGCCACGCTGCTGCCGCTGCGCTCCGTCGGCGTGCAGGGTGCTTATTAATACACGCACGCACGCGCGCGCACACACACACACACACACACACACGCACACACACACGCACACGGACGCAGGGACGGACGCACGCACGCGCACACACACACACACACACACACACACACACACACACACACACACACACACACACACACACACACACATATATATATATATATATATATATATATGCACAGCCACACACACGCGCGCATAACATTGAGACGTTCTATTTTATACTTTATCACACACACATACGCACACTCATACACGTCCTCAAGCACAAAAACTAATGCGTTCTATTTTATACTTTATTACACACACATACACAAAAAAAATATTATTCGAAGATATGTGAAGTCCGCCAATCCGCAGTGGGGTCGCGTGGTGGACTGTGTCCTGATACCCTCTGTATAGAGGAGGCCTTGCCCAGCCGTGGGACATGTATAGGCTGTTACTTTATTTTACTTTTTACACTGAAATTAAACTTAATAATTGTGTTGTAATATTATAAGAACTAACAGCACTAAAAGGTAAAGTTATTTATTAGAACTGATTTAAATTAATGTAATGCAATTTTTAAATGATATGATTATAAAAAGTATTCCTATTAATTAAATGTTGTATAGTTTCTTTTCACCGAAATAATTAATTTTAAAATTATTCTCACGCTTTCAGGTGATTCTAGGACTTACAGCTACGTGGTGGCGTTATCTACAGAACGCTACCCACCTGATTGGAAGGACATGCAATACCTCGCCAAAATCATACCGCGTGTCTGCCACAATGTCAACAGGTGATGTCAGATTTTATTAAAGTATGAAAGCTTAGCGCCTTCTATATTATAAGCTAACCTAAAAATTGCCCTGGTTACTTATAACCTTGTAAGGGTTTAAAAATAAATGCAAATATTAAAATGTTAGTGGTATTTTCTTGTTATTTTTAAATGTTTTAATGTATTCTGAATTTTAATATAGGGTCATATCAATATCAAATAATATTGTTAATTAATTTTTGTATTGTTCATAAGAAAATAAATAAGTGTTTTCGACACATATCTTCAAGGCAAGAGTCAGTGTGCTGAGCTAGTGTGTTTACCAACTAACATTATATCTGCACTTACCATCCATTAAGGTGTTAGTCAAGTTTTGGATGATAATAGCAAGACTTCTACATTAGGGAACCATACTTAGTTTATATTTTTGTTTGAATGAATTTGAAACTCCATCAGGGTCTGCTACGCCTTTGGAGGTATAATCAAGGAGCAGGTGTTAGACATCACGCCGACTTTCCTCACTCAGCACGTCATCTCTACGCTGCGTCAGGCCGATGATCTCGCAACTCAGGTGAGTTTTAATTTCGATCTTGTGACTCAGTTGAGTTTAAATTTCATTTGAAATGCTACGAAGTTATTGATGACATGAAATGCGTCGCCGCTTACTGTAGACAGTATTCTGATACATGTCAACAGGAGCATCAAATATCATGGCTGTGGTAATCACAAAATCAGGTGTGCTGCCTGCTCGCTATTTCACTGACTTCAAAAAGGAGGCGGTTCTCAATTCAACTGTATTTTTTTTATGTTTGTTACCTCAGATGATTTTGATGATTCTTTGTTTATCAGAAAGCTAGTGCTTTCTATGTAGTCCCATATTAATTTCATTGGTATTGGATCTTGGGCTCCGGAGCTACTTAGGGAAATGCTCAAAACCAATTATAAAATGAATACAGAGCGTAATATTTGAAGTCTTATGCTTTCGACGTTCCACGTACAAGAACAAAGCGATTCGCTTCTTCATTTATCATCCGTACAGCTAAGGAATGGAATAGCCTGCCTGCGTCCGTCTTTCCGTCCGCAATACAACGTTGGCGTCTTCGAGGCAAGAGTGAATAGGTTTCTACTGAGCTAGCGCGCTTACCATCAACGGCTGCATCGCCACCTACCATCAGGTGGGATTGGCAGTCGAGTGCTTGCCAGTTTTGGAATTTAAAAAAAGTCGGTTTTTTTTTCCCATTAGCAAAAGTGGACTGACTTGTTTAAAAAAACAAATCAAAGTTTTGCGCTTCCTCTAATCGCTGTCCAACGGTGTGCACAGGTGTTGATATCGAGCGGCTACGCGGGCCGCATCGCCCAGATGCCGGTGGTGCTGATCCCGGTGCACTTCGACCGGGACGCGGCGGTGCGCGCGCCCTCCTGCCAGCGCTCGCTGGTGCTGCGCCCCTTCATCACCGGCGACTTCATGACGGGCGTCGCCGCGCTGCCCGGCTCCGACGCGATGCCTCAGGACGTGAGCTATCACATTACTATACAGTTCATAGATTCCCGACCTATTGAAACTACCAGGTACCAAATAAATGCAGCAGGACGTGAGCTCTCACATTACTATGGAAATCATAGGTTCCCAACCTATTTAAACTACCGGGTACCAACTAAATGCCTGTGGACGTAAGGGATCACATTACTATAGAATTCATAGGTTCCCAACCTATTTAAACTACCGAATTAAAGGGCCTATTTACAAGAAAAGGTGGTGTAAAATGGGTTTATACATAATGGTTAAATGAATCAATTTTATATATTATATGGGCTACTCCCACAATCAGCTCTATGGGAACCTATGTTATAGATTGTAAGGAAAAGACTCCCAGCCCTGGAGATATTCTTCTTTTTTCCCCAGTACTGGAGATATTCATTTTGTTGTAAACACCTGCTGGAAAACATTTTAACACTTTAATCAGGCAGAAAGTTCAGCTAAAAAGCGCATTTTCAATTTGAATTAACCAATACTAAACAATCACTAATCTCCTATTATTTCTTTCTCACTAAAAAGGCGAGGCTACTGTAGAGACCGTTTAAACATGGCTGTCAACATTTCAAAAAAATATTTTTTCTTTTTAACCTAATATTGTAAACTGTTAATGTTATTCAAAATTTTACCACCCTCTTTAGCTTATCGCCATATATCAGGCTCTCACATCTCATGACTTTGGTTTTGGAACTATAGCCAATTCCTTAAATAAGATTATTTTGATGTGTGTGTAAGTGTTTATAGAAAATATTTACCTAGAGCCTACATAGAACTTAACAGACTTTTTCTCGTTGACAGGTTGTAGACAGGATGCATAAGGAGCTGATGACCGTTTCCGGGATATCGCGTGTCCTGTACGACTTGACGCCTAAACCGCCGGCGACCACGGAGTGGGAATGATCGCCTCAGAACGCCCGTCTTTTATATATTTTTTTACTGTACGAACGCACTCTATGGCAGTGGTCCCGTACTGTTTCTAGAACTCTGAAGGACAGATTAATTAGTGATCAGGTGCCGCGCTACAGGATACGCTTAAGAAGTTACTACAGCATTGAAGCAGCAGTGAATGAAAAATATTTGAGATGGCGTTTTTATTTTTTGTTTGAAAACGAAAAACAAACTGTTTTCTTTTCTTTTACTGTAATACAACTAATTGTAGTGAACACACAATTTTTACACTGCTCACTGTAACTGTTACTAGCAAAGTTGTTAATCGTAAATATATTGTTATGATTCAGCAATACATATTTATCTAATTTTAATTTAGACAATTTGCTTTCGTGTGTAACTTTAGATTTTACAATGCAGTCCTTATATTTGCTTTAGAATGGAAGCCTCATAATTATGGTGTTTTTTATTATTGTCTATGGTTTTGCTTAATGGGAAGACTGTAAATAAAATTTAATTGTAATGTTTAATCTAGGATCACTGCCTGTTAATGAATTTGTAAATACATTGGTATAATGCGACACAAGGTACTGGTGTCTCATGTTATCGTTAGCTCCACTGATCAGTTTTGTAACAACATAGTAATTTATTGTAAAAGGCTGTGTAAAAATTATTAAAGAAGCCCAGGAGTATTCTGCACCACAGGATTGATGTAACAATTCTAGTAAAAAATCGATAACACATTGGTGTTTATGGAATGGTTCAGTGTTATTGACTGGAAGTTTCATAATAAAAATTATATTATGCTTTATTTTCATTATGTTTTTCATTTATTTCCTTTCAAGTCAAATATTTAAAAAAAAATCATATCAAATAAATATCCTTAATACAATAATTAATTCAAATTGTTCATCTATGCAAATAAAGATTATGTCAAGTCTCTGGGACTAAAAGGTTAATGTTCTTTCCAGTAGTCACATTTCCACCGATAAAAGTTTCTTCCTCTCCTCTAATGGACAGTCCCTCACAATGGGCCACTTTCTTTTCTCTCATCATTGGTGCCCTTTCCCAGTGTGAACTGTTACAGTTGCTGCATGAATGCAGTGGCAATAACTCCAAAGAGACTGTTCTGTTACTGCAATTACCACATTTGAAGAATCTTTTAAAAGTGTCCAAAACTTTTAGAGGGTGCCTCTCATCTTTGCATAGTTGGGATGCTGAGAAAGCTGTATATTTGCATTTTGTACACCTAACAGCCTTACATGCCAACTTAAATGTGTTCAACATTTTTTCTTCCATCGCTTCTTTCTTTTCGAGCTTGGTGAAGTACTTCTCTTGTTCACTATCCTCATGTTCTTGTATTAGATTTTGATGTGCCGATGTTGCTTCAAGTATTTTCTTAAACCGCTCAGACATAGTGGGTTTAAGAATTTTGCTCGCATCTTCATTCGGTTTTGCCCTTTTAGAAGAGTTTTCATCACTATTTGAGTTGTTCAATTTTTCCAAGGCTCTCTTTTTACCTGCATCAGTGCCTTTAATGTTGTTAGGATCTATTTTTGTAATTCCGCCCCTCCTTTGGATTAATCTAATGGCATTTAGTTTTTTCTGTTCAGCTGTTTTCTCACGATAAGATATGCTCAGGTCTACAGTTCCACTCCCCTGTAATGCGAAACCTTTGCCTAATTTTGGGGAACTGGCAACTCTATCTGCTAAACTTGTACCAGCTGTTGTGTTAGAAGATTGACTGGAATTTGTTAATTTATTTAACCTAATTGAGTCAGTAATTCTTTGTGTGGTAGGACTATGCAATATACCTGAATTGCTTTTCATTGGACCTGCACCATACGGAGCTTTGTTACTCATCAAACAATCACTTTCTGTATTGTAGTAGTCACTCAGGGACATCAATCTATTTTGATCTCTATCTTTTACTTTTCTATGATTAGATTTTGGCAAAGCTGAATATGCTTTGCCCCCATATATGACAGTATTTTTGCCAAGGACCTTATTCTGGAGGTTAACAAGACCTTTTCCCATTGTAGATGATTGTAACTCTTGTCGTCGGGCAAAGGTTTGATATTCTTGTTTAATATGATAAATACAATGTTCACACTGGTTTAAATTTACAAATGCTGTACAAGGGTCTCCATTTTTCTTTTTACTTTTACATATACCTAAATCTTTGGACTGCCCAAGAATCATTACTTGATTAGGACTTGTTACACTCAGACAAGCTTGGTCATTGCTATTTTGTGATCTGTCAAGAACATTTGGTTTTAAAATTGCTACAACTGTGCCTTCATTTGTTTTCCACAATTCTAGATAAGCTTTTTGAAAAAGAAACATGGAAATTGTTTTCAGGTCATCTTTGAGATCACTGAGTGTCCAAATAATGAATTGATTGCCCTTTTGAGATTTCTTAGTTGCACTTTTTCTAACAATAACTCCAGCTATGACCCAATCTTTAGATAAATCTTCATTTTGGACATACCTTTTTATTCTTAACATATTTACGGCTTCCCGGCCTTGCATTCTGTCTAGCAAGGTGGCACTTGAAATAAGTGGTTTAGTAATACGGATACCAAAAACAGGGTCTGTATATACATCTGTATTAGGTTTGTTACTGGTAATGGGAGCGCCAAAAATATACTTAGTATTTTGGTCTGAATTTTCCACAGGTTTATTTAAAAATGACTTGTTAGCGGCAACTTTTAAATCGATATTTGCTTGTCGTAACCTTACTTCAAAATCCAACTGTTTCTCTTTATATTCTTGGTCTTTATTATCTAGTAATTTTTTTACTTCTGTTCCATAGTTGTTATATTTTCTCTCTGTGTAATTCCTTTTTTCTTCATCATCCGATGAATCTGTATCACCATTGTGAATAATCGATTTTTCATTCTCCTCAGATTTTCTTTCTAAATGCTCTGTTTCTTTAAAAATATTCACTTCTTTAATACCTACGGGCTTATTTTCATTTTTGTTGTTATCTGCTAAATCAGCACACAATAATTCTTCAAGTTGTGACAACTCATCATAGGTTTCCATGTTGAATAAAAATAGTTGTTAATATCTTTAAAAGTTTTAATTTTCATTAATGATTATGTGTTTTAAAAAGTTAATTTTTTTTGGCGCGAAACCGTAATTCACATATTGTCAGCAGGCTGTTAAATCCAGTGTTACCAACTGTTTAAAAATAATACTCCTAAAGCAACTAGAAAACCCACTATTAAATTCAAATAAAAACTTCCTAAATTTAAAATCACGATTTTCTTTTATATTATATATAGATGCAAAATAATTATCTGATAAAATAAACTATTTCATTCAAAATGATCAAGAACATCTAATATAATATAATAGTGGGTCTAATATAATATAATATAATATCGAAATGAATATGTTAAGAATAAATCAAAACAATATTAAAGAAAATAATTATTAGAATAAATAAAAAGATACATAGGCCTTGGCCTGACGTCGTCCAAAACAGCACAGCACTGTAAAATTTTATTTTATTTTTTAAATAAGTAGTTTTATTCGAAAATGTGAATAAAATTTAATTCCTAACAAAATATTCCCGTAAAATTTTACCTCCCACAAAACTTCCATTCCACATTTTTTATTCTAAAATTTAGTCTACAGTGTCGTGCTCTGAAGTATTAGAGCTAGCACTGTCATTACTACAAATATTATTATTGAATTTCATTAATTGTAATACAATTATTACTATCATTGATGTCGTTATTATACATTTGTGTTATTAATGGCTTATGGTAACTGAAATACGAAATATATTGTTTACATTTTAGAATTAGAATTAAAATAAACCCTTTGATTTTGCTGATCACTTTAATATAACATATATATATATATATTATTATGAACATACAAAGGAACTAACGCCATCTAGCGTCAACTATTAAAACCACTAAAGAATAAAGACGACATAAAACCCCCTATTCAACACTAGATGGCGTTAGAGAAACATTTTAAGATAAAAAAAAGATGGCGCGTAACGGAAAAATGTTACACTAAATTTGTTTCCAACCCCGATAAAGAAGTTTCACTTCAATAATTCTCGTTTATTACATTTAAGAGTTTTATTTAAGTAATTAAATACTTTCCTGATACAGAATTTGTACCTTGAAGGCTCTTGCTTTGTGAAGCTGGAAAACCAAAAATCCAAGTCATTCCATACAGAACGAGGCGTGCGTCAGGGTTGCATATTGTCACCAAAACTGTTTAATTTGTATGGCGAACACATTATGAGAAAAGCTTTGGATGAATGTAAAGGCGGAATTACACTAGGCGGACACAAGATTACGAACTTGAGGTATGCAGATGACACTACCTTAGTTGCGTCAAGTGAAGTGGAGATGGCTATTCTTCTGAAGAGAAAATTGAAGAAGAAAGTGCCAAGCTCGGTCTTAAGATCAACCGTTCAAAAACCAAAGTAATGGTGGTAGATAGAGCAAATATACTCCCAATCAGCGACGCACTCGATGACTATCAAAAAGTCACTGAATTTGTGTACCTTGGGTCCTTGATTAAATGTGAAGGCAGCTGTACGGAAGAAATCCGCCGTAGATCCGGTATGGCTAAGAGTGCTATGGCTAACCTCGAAAAAATATGGAGAAGTAGAAGTGTTCGTCGGGCGACTAAGGTGCGTTTGGTTCGAGCCTTAGTTTTCTCGATATTTTTGTACGGCGCCGAAGCATGGTGCGTGAAAAGTCGCGACAGCAGCAGAATCGATGCTTTTGAGATGTGGTGTTGGCGGAGAATGCTGCGGATACCATGGACTGCCATGAGAACAAACAATTCCATCCTTAAAGAACTGAACATCAATAAACGACTCTCACGCATATGTCAAGAACGTGTCCTCAGCTTCTTCGGTCACATCATGCGTTTTCGAGACATGATCTGGAGAGGCTCATTATCGTGGGTCAAATCGATGGCAATCGTGCTCGTGGCAGGGCGCCTACGAGATGGTCTGATACTGTAAAGGGGGCAGTGGGCGGTAGCATGTATCGGGCTGTCCACGAGTCACATGATTGCACTGGTTGGCGATATATTGTTCGTGGTCACGATTTGCTGAGGGAACGAGGAAGAAGAAGAAATACTTAATATGGGACCAGTATTCACTCGTTTTCTGTCATTTAAATGAAACGTTTGATCGAGGATAAAACAAACATTGATTTTGTGGGATTAAGGTGAGTGGAACACATCTTAAAATTGTATGTTAAGTTATGATAATTATAACTACGCTCATGAGCTAAAACACCAACTCAAGCGACTTGCACTAGGTTGAGTATCTTTAAAAAAGTCCTGAATTATAATCATCTTTTTGAATTATAAATAATAATATAAACTATAAGTTTTGGCCTCTGCGAAATGTAAACGCATGCTGTCTTTTCCAAGAATACGACCCAGAAGCATGTTGTTTATAGTCGATCACCATTTTTGCATCCTGTTAATAATAACAGCTAATTAGAGGGTTGTAATAAAGGTAATTTTACTGACGAACCCTCATCATATAGTAGCTAAACGTCAATAGATACACTGATCCCTTATTATTAAGCACGAACATTATCACGTTTCATCAGGCGTAGAGCTAGGTTTAATGGGTATTTACAGGAAAATCTCGCAATTATTAAGTATAAAATTGTATTGTATAAGTACATACACGTTTTTTAAGATTAATTTATATTTTACTTGTCATTATATGAAATTGACAGTCTCATCACATTGTTTCTTGTCAAAAGTTTGAAATCTTTTTTTTTTTAGAGATTTGTTATTGGATAAAAAATAGCAGTAAAGTAACAGCCTATACATGTCCCACTGCTGGGCTAAGGCCTCCTCTATACAGAGGGTATCAGGGCATAGTCCACCACGCGGCCCCACTGCGGATTGGCGGACTTCACATATTTTCGAAATATATTTTTTTTGTTATTATTTCGAAAATATGCAGGTTTCCTCACGATGTTTTCCTTCACCGCGGAGCACGTGATAAGTCAGCACTTAAAGTTAAAAACTTCATTGGTGCCGGCACCGGGAATCGAACTCAGGTTGCTCGAGTATATTGAATTAAAGGCGGGCGCCCGGACACTGAGCTATCACGGCTCTTAAAAATAGCAGCGGATCGTTGAAACGGTTTGCGGCCCGGATCATTTTTGTTCGCGCTGTATTTTCTCCGTAAACGTTTCCCGCTTTTTCACGTCTCGGGGAAACGCGAGGTAATTTAACGTTAAATCATTGTGCAGTGGCGCGCCTATACACCGTGGCGCACAGTTTGTCTGCGTACGCGGCCGCGCGCTCACGCTCTTTTTCTTCCGCTCTTTGAGTGTCATTTACACTTATATTTTTTAAAATGTGACGTTAAAGCATCGGAATAAAATCACTGAAACCAAAAATTGTCAACGATTTTTTTTTCATTGTTAACTTTTATAAAGAAAGTTCAGCGAATGAAATTATAAACTTCCGATCGCGTTTAAATTTACAAATTATTGTTAAAACGATAATTCAGAAAATTGGATGGTGAGAAAATTCCTTCATTTTCGGAGGGTTGCGTAGCAGCTGAGAGGATGTTGACTGATTTCCACTGATTGTCACCAAGAGAACGATACGAGACGAAGACGCTTATGCCGACTTATAGGCTGGTGGATAGACCAAGAGGCGTGTGCCGTGTCCTGGGCGGTCTGAAGATGTGCTTCCTCAACGTACTGCGGCTGCAGGTGGCGCAGAACCAGCGCCAGAAGCGTCTTTACAAGCAGTATATGGAGCAGCTTGCTGGTGCTTACGTCGAGCGGTGCACGGATTTTAACGCAATGCATTGGGATCCTCGCTATAACTGCGGACCGACGCCCGAATGGCGCTACTCGGTCCCCTGCGACGAACGCTGGCTCGGCACCGAGGGTTCGCGCTCGTGTTATGACTCGGAGTGTACAGACAGCGGCCGGTGTTCCTCGCCGTGCTGCTCCGAGGTCATCTTCAACGGCGGTCAGCACTTCAGCGGGAAGGGGTACAATCAGCACGTATGTCGTCACCAAGCGATCTGCTATCCAGGCAACTTTGGGTGAGTGTTTTAATTTCAACAACGGTACCCGCATAACTCGTCAGCTGGCAACAGTAAGTAGACAGATGTAATCAAATAAATATTTATGGGCATATTTTTATAACACTCTAGCCTCAATCTAAGCAAATCTTGTATCATGGGTTCTTACTACGTAGCTGATAAACATGCTGAAATGTATTTTTTTGTAACTACATATTGTGTGTATGCGGCCTCAGGCGCTAGAAAAATACTATGTTGATCGCGCAACGGTTTTCTATTAGTGGGAATTGAATTCACACCCTCTGGCGCAAGATAGATTTACTACCCACTAATCCAATCGGATCATAGTGAATAGTGAATGGATAACGATTCGTTTAAAATATGGTGTTGCGAATGTTCGTGGTGATTCATAAACAGAATGCAAGTAAAATTTACAAATTATTGCACTATTAATTTATATTACGATGTCTGAATTTATTTTGCCACAATAATTAAAGGATGGGAGTTAAAAAAAGAAAAAAAACATCAAATAAACATCGTATTGCAATGTTTTCATGTACGGAACTGGCAACCATTAAAAAGCGTACACCGAAAACTGTTCGTTATAAGTAAAATTAGCTCTGTTTTTGAATATTTATGTCTCAATTTTTTTTCTTTTAATAAAGATTGCCCTTACTTTAGGATAACATTATCCTGTGTTGTAAGGACATTTTACAAACATAAATTACACGCGGACAAACACCCAGATGCGAAACAACTATCTGTGGGTCACACAAATAGCTGTCCCGAACCCACGACCTCCGACGCCGAAGCCAATACCTTGGCAACTTCGACACGGAGTCATCATAAATATTTTTTGTCATTCTTATTCGTCGTTAGTTTACTTGCTTAACAGGTATAACCTTACAAGCAAGGACGAGAAAAGGCGGGATCCAATTGCAAATTATAAACCGGAAGAAAAATAATGGGTTCCGCTTACTACTGAAATTAATGTAGCTATTTAACTTAGGCATTCAGCTCATATAATATAGTTTGTCTACCGAAGTAGAGTTAACCTTGTTTGTAGTTTATTTTAATTTTTATTCTCAAGTTTGTTGCGGTCTATTTAGTACAATATGTTTAAACTGTCTTTATTGCAGTCGGATTTTTGATATTTTTAAATTATTTATTTTGAAACGATTCGTGTAACTTGTATATTATAATGGGGAAGCAAAAATTTATTTTCAGCGAACTAATGTTTTGTATATTCGTAAAATTTATTTCTTTAGGGTTCGTAGTAGCCAATTGCGTGGTGTTTTCGTCTTTTATAACAATGTTTCTAAACGCTGATTTAGCTAGTATTATTAAGAGGTAAAATTTGCCAAGAATTAAGAGAGTCAGTAAAAATAAAGTTTCCCTCTTACCCCTGTAATAGTTAGTTACTGTAATGTTTAGTACGGACATAACCCACCGTTAGTAATGGCCTCAGTTAAACAGATTAATCAATCATTTTCGCTTGTCAGCTCTCGGATCAATAAACTTTTGAAAAGGAAAGTTATTATAGCAGAATTTATGTGTGGTCCTTTTTCAGTGAATTGGGTATTATTTGTACATGAGGCGGCTATCCTTTTAATGAATAGTTTTATGACTTGAACATTAAAACTGTTTCTAAAACTGGAAATTTCAACCTAGAAGTGGAGAGCCAGAAATAAAAATAGCTTTTATTATGTATTTTGCCATAAATTGTTAATAAGTGTCTTAGCTTGATTGAAAAAAAAACGAGAAATTACCATAAATATTTTAGTTATCAAAGAAAAACTATTGACTTACACAGGCCACACTATTTTACAAAATTAGAGGGACGAACCTTATAATTATAAACCTTAGTGAACTTTAGTGACAACACGGGTGATCTACCCCGTTACATAATTTAATTTTTAACCATTCTGGCATCGTCCTTTTTTTAATGTGAAAAGTTGGCAATTGAGCGGGCGGTTCACCTGATGTTAAACGATTACCGCTGCCCATGGATGTCTACAGCACCTGACCGGTAGCAGACGCGTTGCCAGACATTAAAAAGTAGTTCCCGATTACCACACTCAGCAGGTAAAACACGTATACTTGAACTTCGACGCGCGTCTTCTTTTATGTGAAAAAGTGGCAAACGAGCCGGAGGTTCATCTGATGTTAAGTGATAACCGCCTGCCATTGAAGGTTGCAACACCCGTAGGGTAGAAAATGCGTTAAAAGTAACAGCCTATACATGTCCCACTGCTGGGCAAAGGCCTCCTCTATACAGAGGGTATCAGGGCATAGTCCACCACGCGGCCCCACTGCGGATTGGCGGACTTCACATATCTTCGAAATATATATTTTTTTTGTTATTATTTCGAAAATATGCAGGTTTCCTCACGATGTTTTCCTTCACCGCGGAGCACGTGATAAGTCAGCACTTAAAGTTAAAACCTTCATTGGTGCCGGCAGCGGGGATCGAACTCAGGTTGCTCGAGTATATTGAATTAAAGGCGAGCGCCCGGACACTGAGCTATCACGGCTCAAAAAATGCGTTGCCCCCTTTTAATAAAGCGTGCCCCGGCTACCTCACTCACCAGACGAAACGCAGAAGTGTAACACATCCACTTTACGCCGGTCTTGTGTAAGGTAGTGGTACTACCCCGGATGAGCCTACCTATTCGTGCAACAGCAGAACAGTGCTGCGTGGCCATACCACGACAAACATATCCCATCAATAAAATACATCGTTTCTGACAATGCCGACTGCATTAAGAGTTATAATTTAATTCACTCTTTATTCATTCCGAAATCGTTAATGGTTCTTAAACACAATCATCAATATCATAGGCAAACGAAGTACACATATGAAGTATAAAAAGATATTTAAAGAAAAATTGTCTCAAATAGCAAAGTTTTAATTCAATTGCGTCATTAAGGAAGGACCATTGATCCTCATTTGGCATGTTTTTAAAATTTTGCGGTAGGTAGAGGGTACATTCGTTACTTACAATGAGTGTATTGGCAACACTTGTCTTTTTGTACCCCGTACGGTATTTCTTATGTTGGTATTCTGTTATTGTCTTATGGCGTGCACTGCGTTAGATAATAACGTTACATAGTAAGTTTTTCGACGAACGAAATGCATTTTTTGTCATTACCACTTTTGTCATGCAGTTATCCGCTTACGTAATGACATACATATCGACGGCGCCACGTTTTTCATTACATTTTCTTTTTCTGTAACAATGTCAATTTACTTTTTTGCACAGATACGTAACCATAAGCCGGAGTTAACCACTTGCGGTGTAATTCGAGCAGTGGTTCTATAACTTTCACAAAATTTCCGTTTCAATTTATCTAAAACGACGTCGCTCGTCGACGGACTGGTTTCGAATTAGAACTGGGAAACAATATTTTGTTCACAAGCCCTTTATTACAGGTTTTCTTTTTAAATATGAAATCAAAATCAAAATCAAATGTATTTATTCAACATAGGAGCATTACACTCACTTATTGATAGTCAAAACACTACCACCGGTTCGGAAAAGAAAGCCACTGTACTGAGAAGAACCGGCGAAAGAAACTCAGCGGGCTTTTTTTTTTTTTTAAATAAGCAGTTTGACATAAATTCGTTAAAATACAACATAAGAACTCCGATTGAAAGAGCCTGGAGCGATCAGTTCCTTACCAGAGTGTGTTATCATTTAAATAATCATTAATATTATAGTAGCCTTTAACACACAAACGTTCTTTTACTATTTTTTTAAATTTAGCTATTGATGCATTTTGAACGTTTTCTGGAATTTTGTTGTAATAACGTATACATTGTCCCATAAAAGATTTACTTATTTTACGGAGTCTACTTGTGGGTAGGATCAATTTATTTTTGTTCCTAGTATTTATATCATGAACATTATTATGTCTTAAAAATTTATCCTTATTTTTATGGACATACAAAACATTTTCAAAAATGTATTGAGCAGCAACAGTCAATACCTTTATCTCTTTAAACAAGTTTCTTAACGAATCTTTGGGGCCCAGATTGTAAACTGCACGAATAGCTCTCTTTTGTAAGATAAAGATTGTATTAATGTCGGCCGCGTTACCCCAAAGCAGAATGCCATAAGACATTATACTGTGAAAATAACTAAAATATACCAAGCGAGCTTATCAACATCAGTTAACTGTCTTTTTTGACCGCGAAAGCTGCTGAGCTAAGTCTACTCGCCAGTCTATTAATATGGGGGCCCCATTGCAGTTTTGCAAGCTTTGGTTAAGTCACAGAATATTCCTAAGGCATCCTGCGACTTTTCCCAGGCTTCAAAAATATTCATAACGAGCTGAACACCCGCATCAGTTGTTGAGCGACCCCTAGTAAACCCATATTGCTTGTTATGTAATAAATTATGAGAGCTAAAATGCTGTAACATTTGATTCAACATGATTTTTTCAAAAATTTTACTAAGAGTTGGCAGTACAGAGATAGGTCTAAAATTATTGGGGTCGGAAGTACTACCAGATTTAAACACCGGAATGATTTTACTATGTTTCATAAGGTCAGGAAATTCGCCACGATTGATAAAAATATTAAAAATAGTTGCTAGGTAAGGTGATATTACATCAATAATAGAACTGATCACCTTAACCGAGATCCCCCATAGATCTGCAGTTCTTTTAACATCTAAAGTTTTGAAAGTTTTAACAATTTCTGTCTTGATTACAGTAGTAAATTTAAAGTTGACTTTACATTCCATAACATTCTTTTTTAGTAATGACTCAGCAACTGTCGGTGAGGAAAGAAGTGACTTGGTTGTTGAAACTGGAATGTCAACGAAAAATTTCTCGAAGAAAGTAGCAGCCTGTTGATTTGAGTTAATAGAATTATTATCATTAGTTAACATTAGGTCAGATTTGCGCTTCGTGACTCTTCCCGTTTCGCTATTAATTATTGTCCAAGTCATTTTGATTCTATCAGGTGCTTACTGCAGGAGAGGGTACTGCTTATAAAATGTCGGATAGCAAAACTTA